TTACACGTAGATAAGGAGGGTTCAAAAAAGAAAGAAGGACAGATGAAAACAGAAATCCACAGCAGGGGCTAACCCTAAAGTGAAAACAGGAACGGACAGACAATACTAACACATTTCATCAGCTTAGTCGTACCTGGCACAGAAGGAACGGACTTCATAGCTTGCTTGGTCACCAGTGATTTCTTGGCTTGAACCACAGGGTGGGCCATTTATATGGATACACGGTAATAACATGGGAATGGTTGGTGATATTAAAGTCCTGTTTGTGGCACATTAGTATATGTGAGGGGGCAAACTCCTCAAGATGGGTGGTGACCATGGTGGCCATTTAGAAGTCGGCCATCTTGGATACAACTTTTGTTTTTTCAATAGGAAGAGGGCCATGTGACACCCATCCATCCATCCATCTTCATCCGCTTTATCCGAGGCCGGGTCGCGGGGGCAGCAGCCTAAGCAAAGAGGCCCAGACCTCCCTCTCCCCAGCCACCTCCTCCAGCTTATCCGGGGGAATACCAAGGCGTTCCCAGGCCAGCCGAGAGATATAATCTCTCCAGCGTGTCCTGGGTCTGCCCCGGGGCCTCCTCCCGGTGGGACATGCCCGGAACACCTCACCCAGGAGGCGCCCAGGAGGCATCCTTGTCAGATGCCCGAACCACCTCAGCTGGCTCCTTTCGATGTGGAGCAGCAGCTGCTCTACTCTGAGCCCCTCCCGGATGGCCGAACTTCTCACCCTATCTCTAAGGGAGAGGCCAGCCACCCTTCGGAGGAAGCTCATTTCTGCCGCTTGTATCCGCGATCTCGTTCTTTCGGTCACTACCCACAGCTCGTGGCCATAGGTGAGGGTAGGGACGTAGATCGACCGGTAAATTGAGAGCTTCGCTTTTACACTCAGCTCCCTCTTCACCACGATGGACCGGTGCAGCGTCTGCATCACTGCACCAATCCGTCTGTCGATCTCCGGCTCCCTTCTCCCACCACTCGCGAACAAGACGCCGAGATACTCGAACTCCTCCACTTGGGTCAGAACCCGGAATGGGCACTCCACCCTTTTCCGGCTGAGAACCATGGCCTCAGATTTGGAGGTGCTGATCCTCATTCCCGCTGCTTCACACTCGACTGCGAACCGTTCCAGTGCGAGCTGGAGGCCTTCACCCGATGAAGCCAACAGAACCACATCACCTGCAAAAATCAGAGATGAGATTCTGAGGCCACCAAAGCGAAAGCCCTCCGCCACTTGGCTGCGCCAAGCTCTTGCAAAGGTTGTATAGGGAACGAATGGCCCGTAGCAATGGGCCAGACACCCCATATTCCCGCAACACCTCCCACAGGACACCCCGAGGGACACGGTCGAATGCCTTCTCCAAGTCCATAAAACACATGTAGACTGGTTGGGCAAACTCCCATGCACCCTCAAGTATCCTCGAGAGGATAAAGAGCTGGTCCAGTGTTCCGCGACCAGGACGAAAACCGCATTGTTCCTCCTGTATCCGAGGTTCGACTAACGGACAAACTCTCCTTTCCAGCACCCTGGCATAGACTTTCCCAGGGAGGCTGAGGAGTGTGATCCCCCTGTAGCCATGTGACACATCCAACTTATTGGAAACCTCAAGGCCACTGGATATTTGAAATTGCTACATGATGATGTGTTTCCCTCTTCATGCACTGAAGCTGGCACGTTCCCTGAGTTCTTCCAGCAAGATGGTTCACCACCACATTATGGGTGCCAGGTCCGAGCATTCCTAGATGAACAGTTTCCTGGAAAGTGGATTGGTCGTCGTGGGCCAGTTGAATGGCCCCCAAGGTCTCCCGATCTCACCCCCTTAGACTTTTATCTTTAGGGTCATCTGAAGGCAATTGTCTATGGTGTGAAGATACGAGATGTGCAGCACCTGAAACTACAGATACTGGATGCCTGTGCTGGCATTTCTCCTGCGGTGTTGCTATCAGTATCAACTGAAGCATGCGTGTCCACGTCAGGGGGGGATCCTCACGGTGGACCAGAGTGTCTGTTACACGCTATCCCCACATATAAATACGTGAAAACATCACAGATAAATACACTCAGTGACAAACCTGTAATAACTTGTCCTTGTGCCTGCCTGTAGGACCCAAGCCTCAGTTCTTCATCATCATGGAGTACTGTGAGAAAGGAAGTCTTCGCCAGGTTCTGGACTCTGACCTCACTCTGACCTGGATCAGGAAAGCTCACATGTGTTTGGATGCAGCACGAGGACTCTATCGGTCAGTGTGTCTGCTTTATTACAGATTCTAACCTAAACTCCAAACAAGTTGGGACCCTGTGTAAAATGTAAATGAAGACAGAAGGCAACGATCTGCAGATCTCATCAGGGTCAGTTATTTTATCTACAACAGCACACAGAAAAAGTTGGAGGCTGGAACAGTAAGTGGTGCTACGAGGAAAAGATGGAGGAACATTTTGCACCTAATCGGGTTAATGAAGAGGCGAGGGACCATCCCGCTCGTTATCAGTGCTTCGTTCAAAGTCTCTGATGGGTTGGGGATCGTATCAACGAAACTGGCAGCTGGCACATCTGGAGAGGCTCCATCAATGCTGAAAGGTATATACAGGCTTTAGAGCAACATATGCTCCGTCCAGGGAAGGCCTTTATGTTTCTGCAGGATGATGCTGAACCACAGACTGCATCTGTTCCAACAGCACGGCTTCTCAGTAGAAGAGTGCAGGTGGCGACGCGGCCTACCAGCTGAGAACATCTGGAGCATCGTGAAACCAAACAGAACGAAGGAGACCCGGGAGTGTTCCTCTCCCAGAAGTACGGCAGCCTCAGTTCACACAAAGTTACAGGCTGTTGTTAAAAGAAGAGGAACTCTACACAGCGGGAAACACGGCCCGACTTTTAGGAGATATGTTCCTGCCCTCAAGTTCAAAAGGAGCCAATACTTTTTCTTTGCATTGTAAAGTTTCTCAGCTGAAACCTTCGATATGTTTTCTGAGTTCTGTGAGTAAAGTTTGAGGTCTGCAAATCATTGCATCTTCTTTAGAGTTGGGCAGCTTCACAGTGACCGTGTCGTTCATAGAGTCATGTTGGTGATGATGACTTTACCTGTCGTATCTTAGACTGCACAACACAGAGGAAAAATGGAGGGTTCACGGGTCCATCAACAGCAGCAAGTTCCTGGTGACTAAAGACTACACCGTCAAGGTACTGAAGGCAATGCATGCTGGGATTCCTTGCAGCTGAACATATTTGCTTCATGTGACGGTTTGGTTGTCGTTTCCAGCTGGGAGGTTTCAGGCTGTCGAAAACAGAGACGTCTCTGAAAAGGCAGACGGAGGACAGAGCCGTGAGGTCGCTGTGCTACCACTGTCCCGAGAAGTTCCACGACGCCAGCTTCAGCTACTGCAAAGAGTGGGAGATGTACAGGTGAGACCCCACGGCTGTGGGTCCACAGAGGTGTGCTCAAAGGCCCTCAATCATAAACTTTCTAAAAGATGGACTTAGCTTGTGGGTCTGAAAGTGAAGCTGATGTAGAAGTGACTTACATGTGCCATCGGAGCGAGACTCCTCTGGTTGGGGGTTTGTGTGAAAACAGCTCCAGGCTGACCTCAGAACACTTTACTGATTTCAGACCTGCTGTGGTTTGTCAAATGATCAAATTTCCTTTTGAACTTGTTTCAGTTTTGGAATCATCCTGTGGGAAATTGTAACCTGTAAGAATCCTTTTGAAGGTTTGTGTCTAAACTACACTCACTGCAGATTTAAACTAAGATTTGGAGTCCTCTCCATCGACTTCTCCTCCTGACGTGTCTTCAAATGTCTCGTAGGTTTTTCAGATGAAAAAATTTATCAGAAGGTGTATGAAGAGAAGTATCAAGAGCCGCTTCCTGATGACTGTCCTGCAGAACTGGGACAGCTGATCAACAAGTGCCGGGCCTACGACTGCTTCCAGAGGCCATCAGCTGGAGGTGAGTTCAGTTACTCTGTGACTGAGTACATGTGATTACTGTTTCTGTTCATTATTACAGTCTTGATATTTTCTCCTGTGCAGTGCTGCTGGATAAACTGCGCAGTGTGGTGACACAACTGGAGGAACAACAAGACTGATTAGAATCATCCTGAAGAGGAAACACAACGTGTTGATTTTAACTTTTGTTAAACAAACATTAATCAATACCAAATTCAGGGAGTTGAATGAAAGAGTGCTGCCTCAAAGGCTCATCCTTCGCTCTGTGCTGTGTGTGATCAACCCAAACAGCTGGAAGATTTAGCTTTGTTTGTTCTGCACGTCTCTGAATTTCAACTGTTTCAAAGATAAATGAGTGGAAGTCTGGACGCTTTGCAGTCTTGGAAACATTTTGTTCTTTGTGTTAAAACACTCAAACCACCTTTTTCTGGCAGAACCTCACAAACACCTCAAAGATCCTTCAAACATCTGCGTCACAGCGTATGAAACAAGTCGCTCCAACCTCCTGTGGCGGTGTCAAGTCAGACTTAAACGTCGCCAGCTCTTCTCACGGCTGTCCTGAACACTGCAGCTCAGATTTCACGTGAAACCAAAGAACGACCTCCCCGCTCAAAGCCGTTCCCTTCATCGCTGTAACGACACCTGTTGAAACAACTTGCAGGAAAATGATTTGGTGCAAAGTGCCAAAAGCTGAACTTGGTTCCATTTGCTAAATGAAAAACACTGGTGCAGCTGCCATCTTTCATTTAAAACATCTCTGCTTTTTAAAATTCATCAACCAAACAATTCCTCAGTCTCACATTAATCATCTCCAACTCTTTTTCTGCAGATTAAATCGATTCTGCTCATTTCCACCTTAAACATTTGAGGCCAACCATCCAAACCTGCTCGAGCAGCTCTGAATGATTCAAAATAATTACACTGGACCCCGGGGCTGGCCCTCAGACCAGGAAGTCCCGTCTGGTTTGATTATCGGCTAATTTTAATGAGAACATGACAGAAAAGCAGCAGAGACCGGCTTCAACGACACTGAGAAACAAAAACAACACCAAATGTCATTTGTCTGAATCGCAGGTTTATTCTTGTTTATTTGGGTTTAAATTAAATAAGGCACATTCACATCATCATTAAGACTCGGCTTTGACATCCGCTCAGACGAAGTTCAAACATAAAGGTGGTTCCTGTGTGAGGGAGACAGGAAATAGTGACACTGATGGGAGACACGTTTGCAGCACTCTGCTCGTAACCATCAAATCGACTCTCGAGTAAAACCGTCAAAACCACAAATATGAAACATTAAACAGCAGGACAGTCGGCTGTGATGGAATACCACAGTTTGTCTTTTTCCTCTGAAGACGCGCTCGTTTCATCAGGTAGCTACAACCGTTTCATGAAGCACAGAGACCGAAACTTAGAAATTAACCTGACAGAGGGACAAAAATCAGACTGATTTGTTGCAGTTTTCAGTCATTCATCAGGCTGAACAGTCTGAGTCGGGTTTTTGGGGTTTGGACTCACAGTTTGTGTTCGATGATGTCATGATTTCATGAGGCATCAAGAGGAAGCTCAGACAGTTTGATTCGGTTCTCGACGTCCTTACTGAAGGTTAATAAACCACCTGAGCTGATGGAGCTCTGACTTCGGACCAAAGACCGTTTAGAAACGCTCGCACTCCACGTTTGTGGCCGCTGTCACGTTTTCTTTGTGCACGGATTTGGTCGAGAGGCTGAAATGCTAAATTATCACCACGGACGTCATAGCATAAAAAACATGGCCGTAGGAAAGTCAACGCTGAAGCACGTTAAGGTGCATTCATTCTAACGACCAGCAGGGGGCGACGCAAAAAGACTTCCTGTACAGGAAACCGTGAGTCAGTAACACTTCCTGATGAGTTTATGGCCTCAGCCATGAGGTTCAAGTGTTACATGAGAGTTTGTGAGGAGCACAAACAGTCCACAGGTCCAGTTCAGTGACTGTGACTGAAGCCCATCCTTCTCTGCAAAAGAAGCCACGCCCATCGGTTAAGCGTTACAGTATTCAGATGGATGTCATACGAATTCACTCCATACAGTTTTTCTATCAAACTATAAACGTGGCTCACTCTCCACTCGAGGGGTCAGCGGTGTTAATGTTGGTGCTCAAAAATCATCAGCGCCGGTAAAAAGACGGAAATCCTTCAAACAGCTTGATTTGGAAAATAGCCGGCGGTGGTGTTGGATTAAAATCTGCTGGATAAAAGCTCGCAGCGAGGTTCAGCAGCGGACAGGGAGACACACGGAGCTCCACCCTCCTAAATAAAATAAGATCATCCTGATTAAACCAAAGTAAAAAAGTCAGCGGCACAGAGCAGCAGCACAAACTACAGCGAGGACGTTCAAACAGCAAGAAATGAAATCAGCTTGCATCCCTTTTTCTCCGTGAAGGCTGGAAGTGGAAAGCGCTTTAAACTCAGCTGAGACGTTCGTGTTGAAGCTCAATGTAAAGAGTTCCCCGTGCGAGGATGGTTTGGATCTCGCTCGCCTCCGCACAAAAGCGCCGAGCAGTTTTCAAACATCTGAAAAACAAAGTTCGGAAACCTGTCAGTGGAAAAAATGCAGCTTCTAGTTTATGTTAACGAGTGAGAAGGGAGCGCGAGCGGCGCCGAGCCTGTGCGGGTTAAACCTGATCCAGGTGTCTGAGTCAGGGCCGTCTCTGACGTCCCCACTGACGCAAAACATGGATGGTGCCCGACGCCCTTTCAGTTTGCCTGAGGAGGCGGAAACCTCCGAGCGGGACAAATACAACCCGACGCGCTGCAGTGAGAGGACGTTTGGTTCGTGAGGATCCGGAGTCTCGTGTGTTTTTCTTTCGGCGGTCTTCTTGCTACTCGTGCCGTCTGCGCTTCGCGCTCCCTGCATCACTGTGCGCTGGGTTCTGGCTGCTGATTGGCGTTGCTCTCTTCGACTCTTTCGCTCTGGGTCGGGGAGGGCAGGTTAAGGGGATAAGGGGTGGAGTCTTCATCCCTGTGCTCTGACGGTAAGCCTTCAGCTTCCTCGCCAGGCCGAGGGCGGCCGTCAGAAGAGTCTGCGTGTAAATCTCGGTCGGTCTGGCTTTCGGGGTCAGACTGAGCAGACAGGATGTTTGCGAGCGGGACGTCGGCCGAGCTGTCGACCTGCGATGATGTAGTTGACGGTGTGGACGGCGAGGTCTCGCTGCCCGTGCTGCAGCTGGAGGCGTCGGTGGAGAGCGATTCGGCGCCGTCGGGTAGTTCAGGAGCGCACGCGACGTCTGTCGGGTCAGCCACGGTCAGCGCGTGCGTTCGCTCCGGCGTGTGCACTCCGGTGTCGAGGGTGTGAGAGCGAGCCAGGCGCCGCTCTTTGAGGCTTCCTGTGGGGCTGCTGACCGCCACCGTCTCTCCTCGCCTCAGCCTCCACCTGTCCGGATTCACCTGCAACGAAACGGCAGCAGAACTAAAGTCAGTCCTGCTCCAGACCGGAAACACCGATAAATACCAAAATACATAAGAGAACAAGACGCGTGTACCTGGCTGAGGTTTGGAGAACACCTGGGTGGAGAACCTGAAGAACCCTTCCTCATCTGCTGCATCCTGAAGGTGCAGGTGGGAAAAAGGAAAGAAAAATGGGGCTGAGGGTCGATGGTGGAAGGTTAAAGTCATACATTCATGAGAAATAAACTCTGATATTCTCTCAGACTAAAAGCTGCAAATGTCTGGGAAATACACTCAGAAATAAAGCGGAATAAATCACATTTAGGAGGAATCAACTTTCTCTTAATCTAATCCTGCAGCTGCTTCCTCTAGGGGGCGCCACAGCGCATCATCTGCCTCCATCTCACCCTGTCATCCAGCCCTCTACATCCATGAACCTCCTCTGAGCTCCATCTCCACCCTCCCTCCTCTGCACACGCTCAAACCATCTCAGCCTCTCCGACTCTGATCCATCCTCCTCCCTCCCAACGAAGACCTGAGCATCTTCAGCTCAGCCTCCTCAGTTTGTTCTTCTGTTCTAATCTCAGAATATTCCTGAGAAATAAGACTGAATATCCTCTGAGAATATTCACGAGGAAAAAACAAACACTCGAATACTTTCTAAGAATTTTGCATCACGAATATGAAAAGATTCAGAAATGTTACTGCGATTGCGCAGAGCAGTCACTGCACGTGTGGTTTGCTTTCCCTTGATGAGTGGGATGGTTTCTTGTGACTGGTGTGGATTCGTGGCTTGTTTGCGGCCTACCTGCTGATGGACTGAGCCAGCTTCTGCTTCCTGCTGTTGGAGTTATCCTGCAGCCTCAGACGCTGCACGAAGGAATGAGCTGAAAGAGCAAAAGCACAGAAACGATCCTGATTACACGGCTGTGGATCACAGTCCCCATTCTAATGAATGAAATTTAAGTAAAGCCTGCTTTGTAGGATTTATTTCTGGTGTTAGTTACCCAGAGCTCCTTTGGGGACGGAGAGGAGTTTGATCGGTTCATCATCAGGGGAGAGTCCAGATGCTTTCTGCAGAGCTCGCAGGATTTCAGTGTTCTGCACGAGATAACAGGAAGATAAGTCTTCAGACCTGCACGACGGTGCAGCGATGAAGAGCTAACAGCTCCAGGAGAACCCCCCAGGAACGACTCCAAAGTAAAAGAAGACGAAGTTCATACTTCTCATATTCAGCAGATCATGGTCCCATTCTTAATAAATACAATTGTGCACCGGCCACTGCAAGGTCAGCGAGCCGTTTAAGCTCTCTGTGTTGGCGCTGAGCTACAGTTACACACATTTGGATTATTTTGAGCTGTGAATCATACAAAGCTACCCTAGCACAGTCCAAATACATACATTTGGAGTTGAGCGGGTTTACTTTCATGCTTTCTATGAACTCTGAAGCTTTTTGGGAGCTACAGCTAGCTGAACATACTGGAAGGTGCAGTTTCATGCTCATCACATTTTATGATTTTAAAATCATGTATCAGACATCAGCATCGGCTTCAAATTCATTCTGCTGGACTACAAAGGCGGGACCTGCAAAGAGCCCTGATGTCAGCACCGTGGAGTCGGCCTGGTCACTGAGACGGAGCGACGCCATGATGCTGACATCAGGACCCTGTGGGTCCTCAGATTCAGCGTGAGGCACTCCACGACCTTTCCGCCCAGCTCGTAGGCGCAGTCCAGCGGCGTCCTCTGCCTCTTGTTCCTGATGCCAGGAGAGGTTCCGCCCCTCAGCAACAGCTCCACCAGCGCCAGATGCCCGCCCCGCACTGCCTCATGGAGCGCCGTGTTCCCCTGAAGGTTCGCCACGTTCACCAACGCATTACTCTGTGAACACACACACTTTCAGAGTTAATGTGTGTGTGTGTGCGCGCGCGCGTGCGTGTGCGTGTGTTCACCTGTAACAGGATGGTGGCTGTGTCCAGATTTCCACGCAGGCAGGCGTGGATCAGCGGCGTGTTGCCATAGTGATCCTTTTTATTCAGCTTGGCGTTGCACTCCAGCAGAAACCTCACCACCTAAACATCACCATGACACTCAGAATGACATCATCCTTCACAACGATGACAATAAAATCACTTTTTGCCAACAGACACACACACACACACCACTGTAGTGGTCACCAGCAATTAGCCGGGTCCCAGTCAGAGTCACAGACAGACTGTGTTTCCACCGCTCAGCTCTACACGGGCGTCTAAGAAAGTACAACCCCTGCAGAAACAGGCTGCAAGGTGAAATTAGAGAAAGTGACCGTGCAGAATAAACAGCTCACATTTCCCCTCAGTGAGGAGAAAACCTCTGAGCGGCACCTGAAACTGACGCTTGGGGTTGGACTCCTCTTTCTGAGCAGTTTCTCTGCTCAGCGACACGAGCGAAGGAGCGAGCGGACTCGTGCAACAAATGAACTTTAAGTCAGCTTTGTGCTCTGCAGTCCGGCTTTCTGATTGTTCACGTTTGAGTCCGTCTTTGTGCCCATTGCATAACTTCTATTTCCTCTGGGTGATATCCAGAACATCCAACAATGAGGATGCTGTGAACTAAAGCTCTGCTGGTGGACACGTGTCCTGCAGTTTACTGAATCTGAGGCAACATCTGCCAGCTGTTGGTGTCCTGAAGTCTCTGACGTCACTGCCTCAGAGATGATGTTGCCTGTCTTCCTTTAATATTGGCTATAAAATAGTTACAGGATGGGCACCAGTTTGTTTCTGGAAAACAGTGAAGATCTGCAGCCAAGAAGAATCTAGTGAGATTATTTTGATAATACTTGTGCACATCAGGCTAATCTAAGCATGTTTTTACCAAACAGCAGCGTAACCTGGAAATCTGCTGCTGTAGAGCCTGACTTTCTGCTCCTTATGTGACGTGTTCATCAAAATTTGAGTAACTCTTTTAAACCTAACTAACATCAGCCAAAACTTCCGACACGTCTTCCTGACAATGTGGCCAAGTTTTCCATGTTTACATCCTGTGCACGGAAAGCTCACACATTCACTTCTCCCTTATCGCTTACCGGGATGTGGCTGTTCTGGCAAGCCAGGTGAAGTGGCGTGGCGCTCTGGTTGGTGCGGGCGTTCACGTTGGCCCCGTGGCGGATCAGCAGGGTGGCCAGCGGCAAGTGTCCGTGGAGGGCGGCGACGTGGAGAGGCGTGAAACCGTCGACGTTGCAGCTGTTTACGCCGAGAGTTCCCGCCTGCTGCACCGATAGCTGCGGGAAGATCAGAGAGTTTAATGGAAATGGCGTCGCATCCACGCTGCTGCACGGGCCGCCGGCGTACCTTCTGAGTGGGGGCGCAGTTTGGGCACTGACACAGAGGGTGGCAAAGCGGAGCCTCCGACCGTACTTCTCCCTGATCCTCCTCTTCCTCATCCATCCACTCCAACAGGTAACGCACCTGAGAAACAGGATGAGCAGACGTCGTCACGTTTCCCATCGAGGGAACGCGACCCTGAGCGTTCAGCACAAATGCAGAAGACTCACCATCTCCACGTCAGCGTCTGCCACGGCTCGCAGCAGCTTCTCCACCTGTCAGTCAAACACAGAGGCGTCAGACACCAACGTTTTCTTCTTCTTTGGTACTCGGAGCTGCACAGACCTCCATGAACGCTTTCTCAGAAATAACGTTTGACCGATTGATTATTAAGTGACCAAACCGGTTTGTAAGCGGATACAAGTGTGGCCAGAGGGGTCTTCAGAGGCTTTACAGGACTGCTTCAACACCACAGACTGGAACATGTTTAAGCAGGCTGCCACCTATAACAACACCACTGACCTCCAGGAGTACGCAGAGACTGTTACTGCCTACATCAACAAGTGCATTGAGGATGTAACAGTCACGAAAACCATAACTGTCCGGGCCAATCAAAAACCATGGATGACAGGAGAGGTCTACAGGCTGCTGAAAGCTCGGAATGTTGCCTTCAGAGATGGAGACGAGGCGAGCCTGAGGACAGCTAGGGCCAACCTTTCCCGTGGCATCAGAGAGGCTAAGAGACAGTACTCCAGGAAAATATCGCATCACTTCAAAGACAGCAGAGACTCACGGAGCCTGTGGCGGGGCATTCAGACCATCACAGATTACAAGCCCCCACCACAGACCTGTGATAGCACTATCCCCCTGCTGAACGAGCTGAACACTTTCTTTGCTCGCTTTGAAGTCCAAAACAGCACCACTGCACAGAAGACCCCACCCCCTCCTGGTGACCAGGTGATGACTCTGTCCCCGGACAGCGTGAGGAGATCCCTCAGCAGGATCAATGCACATAAAGCTCCGGGTCCTGACAACATTCCTGGTCGTGTACTGAGAGACTGTGCAGTGGAACTCACTGATGTCTTCACAGACATCTTCAACATATCACTCATCCAGGCTGTCGTCCCCACATGTTTTAAAGCCACCACAATCATTCCGGTTCCAAAAAAGTCATCTCCCTCCTGCTTTAATGACTACCGTCCTGTTGCACTTACTCCCATCCTGATGAAGTGCTTCGAACGACTAGTCATGAAACACATCAAGACTGTCCTGCCCCCCTCCCTGGATCCCTTCCAGTTTGCGTATCGGCCCAACCGCTCAACCGATGATGCCATCTCCACTGCACTCCACTCAGCACTCACACACCTGGACAAAAAAGACTCATATGTTCGAATGCTGTTCATAGATTTCAGTTCAGCATTCAACACTATAATCCCCCAACAGCTCATTCAAAAACTGGTCCAGCTGGGGCTCAACACCTCACTGTGCAACTGGCTGTTGGATTTCCTCACCGGAAGACCTCAAGCAGTACGGGTCGGCAGTAACACATCCAGCACCATCATTTTAAACACGGGGGCCCCGCAGGGATGTGTGCTGAGCCCCCTCCTCTTCACTCTGCTGACCCATGACTGCACTCCATCATACAGCTCCAACCTCTTCATCAAGTTTGCGGACGACACAACGGTGGTGGGTCTCATTAGCAACAGGGATGAGACCGACTACAGAAGTGAGGTGAGACGCCTGGCCACGTGGTGTGCTGACAACAATCTCTCTCTGAATGTGGAGAAGACGAAGGAGATTGTTGTGGACTTCAGGAGAATGCACACCCAACATGCTCCTCTGACCATTGACGGAGCGTCTGTGGAGAGTGAGAAGCACCAAGTTCTTGGGTGTGCACATCACAGAGGATCTCTCCTGGACGTACAACACCACAGCACTGGCCAAGAAATCACAGCAGCGTCTCTTCTTTCTCCGCAAACTAAGAAGAGCAGGAGCACCAGCCCCCATCTTGCACACTTTCTACAGAGGCACCATCGAGAGCATCCTGTCGAGCTGCATCACTGTGTGGTTTGGAGCCTGCAATGCGTCCTGCCATAGAACCCTCCAACGCATAGTGAGAGCTGCAGAGAGGATCATTGGTGTCTCTCTCCCCTCCCTCCAGGACATTTACAGCACCCGTCTCACTAAAAAAGCCCTTTGCATAGCGGCTGATCCCACGCACCCAATGCAAAGCTTCTTCAAGCTGCTGCCGTCGGGGAGGAGACTGCGGAGTCTCCAGGCCAGGACCAGCAGGCTGAAGGACAGCTTCATCCATCAAGCTGTCAGGAAGCTTAACTCCCTCCCGATTCTGCCCCCTCTCCCCTCTCTCCTCCACGGTCTCACTGAACTCTGTCACACACACACTCACACACACACACTCTCTGACTCACTCACTGGCCTGCACCAGTTACCAGTCACTTTGTGGAGCATTGGACTGCCATTACCTCATAAGACTTTGTGTTATACTATCTCATACCGTACATTACCAAATCTCCATTTGCACTATTTGCCTATTTGCACTACTCTGCCTGGTTTACACTCAATGTCACTTACCCTTATATTGTATATTGTATAGCTTTCTTGTTATATGTAAAATTGTATTTATTTAAATTTTTACTTTTTAATTATTTTACTTGCATTTTTAATCACTTTTATATTTAAATATATTTAAATGTTCATTTGCTATTTATCTAGGGATTGAGAGTAACGCAATTTCTATTCTCTGTATGTCCTGTACATGTGGCAGAATCGACAAATAAAGTTGACTTTGACTTTGACTTGATTGGTGCTAGCAATGTTGTTGTGTTTCCTGGTCAGCGCTCACCTCTCTGTGCCGGACCCGTTCTCCCTCTGGTTTGACCTCCGAGCCCAGGGAGGAGGTGCTGGAGACGGAGGAGCGGCGGCTGCTGCAGTCTGAGGCCAGAGGCGAGCGGCTGGGAGACTGAGAGACAGAAAAGAGATGCTGAAAACACAACCAGCCTCCAAATACTCCCAATGCTAACATAGTTTAGCTTTAGTGTGTGAATGCAGGTCAAATGTGACCACCAGGGTGAACGTTTCAAACATACGTGGTGAAACCAGAGAGGACGCAGAGTCAACTGCGAACATTCGCTCACCAGTTGAAAAGTAGTTCCAGGTTTCACTGGAACTACTTTTCACTGAGTGCCCCTGTTAAACATGCAGCCGCTCTGTCTCGTGAGGAAACCTTTTTGTATTCAATTACACTTTTGTCACATGGATTTTGACAATATTCACTGTGATGTTGGAGATCTGTCCAATGCAAGCGTGAGTGCAGATGAGACTCACGTCGACGCCGCTGCCGCAGCGCTTCCGGCCGTTCTGAGTGGACTGCAGCTGCATGAGGATCTGCAGGAAGACATGAACAACACATTCATTTTACAGTATGTGCGCCATGAAACCAATATGTTTCTTTTTCAGGGAGCACCTGAAGCATCTGTTTACATCATTTGAAAAACCTTTATCGTGCAAGAAAGGCTGAGTGAACATGACTCAGAGACTCTGCAGGGCTAAAGTCCAGAGCCTGGGGCCTGATGCAGACCTGTGTCTGCATCAGGCCCCAGGCTCTGGTACTGCCTGGAGCAGAGATGAAACAAACATCTGATTTTAAAGTGTATCTGAAGCTGGTTTAGTGGACAGACTGGAGAAAGGGGATCAGTCGACCTGCCGTCAGCAGCTGATCAGATTAGCTGCTATCCTCATTATGCTACCACAGCTGTGGGGTGAGGGACTCAAACCAGCACCCACACAGTGGAAGCGTCCTCTGCATGTTCTGGCACAATCGAGTGTCGCTGACCTTGGAGTTCAGGGCGCACTGCAGCGGCGACTCCTTGTTCTTGTTGAGGATGTGGGTGCTCGCTCCGTTCTCCAGGAGCACCTGGATGATGCCCTCGTAGCCCCAGCGCGACGCCATGTGCAGCGCCGTGTCGCCTTTGTCGTTCACCAGGTCCAGACGGCACGTTTGGACATCGTAGTACACCAAGGCCTTCACACACTGACACACAGCATTTATTATTTATGAACATGCTGAGTTATTTACTGGAACAGACTAACCCGGTGGGTTCAAACCAACTGGAGCATTTAAAGGATGAAATGTGAGGACATAACAGAGAGAGCGGCGACGTACGTCCTCGTGTCCGTACATGCAGGCGAGGTGCAGCGGCGTGTTGCCGTTGTTGTCCTGAGCCTCCGTGTTGGCCTTGTAGTGCAGCAGCAGCAGCTGGACAACAGAAACAAAGGAAGGACATCGTTTGTTGTAATGTTCTCCTCCTCTGGAGCGTTCATTCGTCTTTATTTAACGACAAGTTTGTTTGGCTGAGGTCAGACAGCTGCGGCTGATCCAGAACACACATTTCAGTCCTCACTTTGGAAACTGGTTTAATGACTTTGTTTGCTTATAACTCATCTGTTTGGATTATGTTAAAGCTTAAAGGTAGAGGTGATGTTTGAACCTGCCAGTTAAAAATAACCAGACTTTGACTGACAGGTGGGTGCAGACACAGGCGGCTGTAGCTGCAGCTTCACCTCAGCTACCTGGAGTCTCTGAGCTGGACCTCTGCACCGTGTTTGTGCTGCTGGAGCCTTATGGAGCATTTTAATGACATTTTTTTCTGATCAATAATATGGCTGCTGTGAGGTCACTGCACTAACAGACCGTCTAAGTTCAGTTTTTTTAATTTAAATCCCAGGATTTTAGTTTTCTGCGCGTGCTCACCGTTACTCCCTGGTATCCACGCTGACACGCCAGGTGCAGCGGTGTGAGGGCGTGGTAGTCTGTGGCGTTCACCTGAGCTCCTTTATGCACCAGTATGTCGATCAGCTGGGACTGACCTGCCACACACACACACACACACACACACACACACACACACACAGGTTAGTTAATACTTTTTATATATAAATTGTGCCTCGCAGTATTAAACAAACTCATGTTGTGTCACTGCGCGTTAGCAGCCACTCACCGCAGTGAGCAGCGACATGCAGAGGAGTGTAACCCCGGTCATCTCTGGAGAACGGCGTGACGATGGACGGGTCGTTGAGCCGCCTGAAACACGGCGCCAACACTCAGAGTCAGTCTACGGTCAATAATGGCTGAACGCGTCAAACAAGGAGCTTATTGGTCAAAGGTTAGAGGGAGCTTTCAGGAAGTAACCAGTGAGGCTCAATCAGACTCTGCGGTCTGATTCTTACTTCAGAGCTTCAGCTGCGACAGGTGGGCGTGGCCGACAGGTGGCGCTTTCTGCTAGGCCTCACTTTAGCTAACAGGACTGCACAGCGTTTGTGGTGCAGCTACATTTTTGAGTATTTTCGTTTTTAATGGGCCATTGCATAACGGTCTGAAACACACACACACTAAAAGTGTGTGTGTGTGTGTGTGTGTCTGGGGGTTTCAGTGGGAAGTGAAAATACAAATGGTTTTTATTCCTGATTCGAAGCTCTGATGCACAAAAATAATGGAGAAAAGGGGAAGTGATGATCAGTTGAACAATGAAAATACAAGTCGAAGGCATCACATCAGCTTTTCTCTGCATATGTGCAAAGGCAAAGTCAGCCTTAGAGTGAATTTCCAGCTTCACAGTCAATAATCAGTGTGTCATAAACTCCAGGCAGGTCATATCAAATCTGTACCGTGGAGCCTTTACTCTTCTTTATTCTTCGTTATTTTCATGTGAATGCTTTGACGTACTCTCTGTACCTCTGCGTGTTTGTCTGTGTGAGTTTGGACACTGACCCGGACAGCTGGAGGTCACAGAGGTCACAGGAGCAGAGAGGATGACACATCTTCACATCTTCATCGGCCTCTCCATCACTCAGCAGGCGTTCAACCTCCTCTTCATTTCCATTTGCTATGTGCTACAAAACACACAGGAGCAAACTGAGCATTAGCAAAATCTCGCCACTAGATGTCAGAAGACTGTAGATTGCCGTCAAATGAGTGTTCTTCGGTATAGTGGAGGGTATAGGATAAACATGTTAGCCAAGAGAGATCAAAAACATTAAATTCAGACTTTCAGAGTGCACCCCATAACAGCCGTAGCCAGCGAGCGTGTTGCTATCACTGTTTGGGGAGCGGATCCATCCAGATGCAACCCAGGGGTTTTCCACATCTGTCTGCTGTTTACCTCAGCTGTCAATTCTGGGTGAGAAGTATCCACCTTTATTTACTCTGGAGGAGTCAGGAGTCACTTTTGACTGCTGACAGTGTTACTGAGGTAAACCTTTCTGTTGGTAAGCTGCTGTTAGCCTCTGTTAGCTGCTGTGTTTTTGCTGCTGTTAGCCTCCGTTAGCTGCTATGTTAGCCTGTTTTTCTGCTGCTGTTAGCTATTGTGTTTTTGCTGCTGTTAGCCCCTGTTAGCTGCTGTGTTTTTGCTGCTGTTAGCTATTGTGTCTTTGCTGCTGTTAGCCTCTGTTAGCTGCTGTGTTTTTGCTGCTGTTAGCCTCTGTTAGCTGCTGTGTTTTTGCTGCTGTTAGCTATTGTGTCTTTGCTGCTGTTAGCCTCCGTTAGCTGCTGTGTTTTTGCTGCTGTTAGCCTCTGTTAGCTGCTGTGTTTTTGCTGCTGTTAGCTATTGTGTCTTTGCTGCTGTTAGCCTCCGTTAGCTGCTACGTTTTCCTGCTGTTAGCCTCCGTTAGCGGCTGTTAGCCTGTTTTTTTGCTGCTGTTAGCTATTGTGTTTTTGCTGCTGTCAGCAAAAGTTTCTATAAAGTGGATATAACTGACACTTAGTGAATAAACTTTCATATCATGTGAGAATGTAATCATACTGTTTATCTGAGGGAAAGTGGGTTTTTCTTAGGACCCTCAAGCTAACAATCTGATACGTTAGCTTGTATTCAGGTGTTAGAAGGGGGAGGGGTGTCCTTCCTGGCCACTGTACTCAAATATGGTGAGGGGATATGACGGCTTCCACAAACCCACTCCTATGTATTTTTAACAGATTAATTATAAGTTTATCTGAATGTATCAGCTTCTTGGAAGACGTAATTACTCTGATCTATGTACAATATAAAAATAACCCCCAAAAATAGTTACTACACATTTAAATCACTTTCATGGCCTGGAAAACACCAGGAAACATAATGAACATAAACAGAAGAAATGCCAACAGAGGGAACAGAGCTGAAGATTTTAAGTGCTAAATAACAGTTTTTATTTCACTCTCTTAAATTCCTTCTCCTTCAAACTGAATTGGACCTCGAAGGATCTGTAAAAACATTCACAGCATCAGGAGAAGCTTTTACATCCCACTGTACAAAAAAAAACAAATACACATCATGTAGGAGCAGTTTTAGACATCATGCTGATCTTTTATGGGACATCCGCTAACGTCTCGGGCTGCAGCTCACCTCAAACAGACAATTAATGGGCGTGGCTACACCCTGAGTCAGCAGACTCATCCTCTCCTTGAACAGCGCCTTGTCGCTGAGCTCACCAGAGCCCTGAGGAAGGAGGCAAAAACAGGAGAAAACACATGGATGATCTCCAGCACAGTGAAGCAGCTGCTGAGATACGACAGCAGTGTGTTTGTGTCTCACAGAGTTCTGCAGCTTCCCCAGGTTGATGTACTCCACCGCCGCCTCGAAGGTGCTCAGACAGTAGCTGAGCTCATCTTTACTCGAGTGGCTGAAGCAGAAGTTCCTGATGTAGCTCAGGTTGGCCATCCTGAAGATAAGACAAATTAGATCACCCAGCTACATCTTATTAACCCAAATGATGTTTCATAACTATAGATCATCCTCAGCAGCCTCCAGTTAGGCTGCCTTTCACTGGAAGAAGATCGATCGGTAAGGGTTGCCGGTTCGAGCCCCGGCTTGGACAGTCTTGGTCGTTGTGTCCTTGGGCAAGACACTTCACCCGTTGCCTACTGGTGGTGGTCAGAGGGCCCGGTGGCGCCAGTGTCCGGCAGCCTCGCCTCTGTCAGTGCGCCCCAGGGTGGCTGTGGCTACATTGTAGCTTGCCATCACCAGTGTGTGAATGTGTGTGTGAATGGGTGGATGACTGGTTGTGTAAAGCGCTTTGGGGTCCTTAGGGACTAGAAAAGCGCTATATAAATACAGGCCATTTACCATTTACCATAGAGGAAAAATCACGCGCTGTGGACAGTTTACTGTCAACAAACATTATGAATTCAATAAAGTAATCAAATATTGCAATAAAAAATGATGCATTTGATCATAAAACATTAACATTGATTGTTAAAGTCACTATTGGAGGCCACCGGTCCGTGTCCTCAGCTGCACAGTGCAGTAAACGCAAAAACTTCACCTCCTGCCTCATAGGGGGCGCTGCAGAGTTCAGACTGAGCAGGTTCTGCTGCAGAACAAACACAGGAACCGCTCGAGATGTTTTTAATATTAAAATGTCTCCAGGTTGTGAAGTTTGCGGCACATTAGAAAATATAAATTCCAATTATAGCAACTTTCTGTACCGTGGCATCGTGGACACGCCCGTTATCGAAAGCTCAAAAGGATCTGATTTTACCTCCAAGAGGAAAGTGTGACCCACAAAACCTAAAAATATAAATGAAACGGACACAGACGCTGCCAAAATGAGATGTTAAGTTTAAAAAACTTAATTTTTGGTCCGACTGTTCCAAATTTCACAAATGTGGGTGAAGCCAGTGTTATAGTTTATCCACGCCCACATGTGAGACCTGCAGAATCGAGCAGGGCTGCGATACCATCCCTTTGACCCAAAACTGTAAAACTGTGAGTCGTCTTTATGTTTTCACTGCCTCATTTTTTCCTCATTTCTCTGCATTTTATTCACGACAGAAGGTCAAAGGTCGCAGCCAGTTCCCCTTTCGCTCACCAGTTGGGGATTTCCGTCTTCACCAGCAGATAGAGGACGACAGACAGCAGGTCGTCGGCGCTCACGGCTTCTATGCTCACTGTGGAGGGAGACACACAGTCAGTGAGTGGAAACTGAAGAGTCATTCTTCCCGTTCATCTCTCCCTCAGCTCAGCACTAATGAGTAAACTGGCTTCTCGTCAGCTCGGCGCTGCAGGCTGACAGCGGGGTTGTTGCCGTGATCCAATAAGCTTGGATTACCAAAGCAAACTGCACAAATGGAAGCTCACAGAGTCGGTACTGTCCTTTTCTTTAGGGAAACACAAGAGTCGCACAGCCGCTCTCTGATGAGTCCCGCATTTCCCTGCATTACACGTTTAATAAGGTGGTTTCTCTTATGTCACCGCGAGAAAATAAAGGAATGGTCTCATTTGTCAGACTCCTGGATCTAATGTGATTTTCTCAGAGTGATCCAATTTCCCAGAGGAACCCACCCGAGGGATTAATAAAGTTCTATCTTATCTTAATTGAAAACTATTAGATATTTACAGTTTTTTTTTGTCCTGTTTGGGACTTTTTCTACAAACGTGTCCAAATGACATAAACTGAAGTTTAATTTAACGTTAAATTCGATTAGATCTGCACCGCATTTAAATCAGCTGGCTAACACTGGGTCGCCCCTGGTGTCACCGAAACAGGCCTCCCAAGCTCTCAGACTTTGTGTTTTTGCAGCACAGCCCAAGGATGGAAACTACGACATGATCGCAAATATTACGTTAATATTATCAATAATATGGATTAATGGCAACACGGTGGTTAGCACCGTTGCCGCACAGCAAGAAGGTCCTGAGTTCAATTCCACCATCAGGCCGGGGTCTTTCTGTGTGGAGTTTGCATGTTCTCCCCGTGTTTGCGTGGGTTCCCTCCGGGTACTCCGGCTTCCTCCCACCGTCCAAAGACATGCAGCTTGAGGGGATAGGTTAATTGGATAATCCAAATTGTCACTAGGTGTGAATGTGAGTGTGAATGGTTGTCTGTCCCTGTGTGTTGGCCCTGCGACAGACTGGCGACCTGTCCAGGGTGTACCCCGCCTCTCACCCTATGACAGCTGGGATAGGCTCCAGCGCTGCGACCCTGAAAAGGATAAGTGGAAGCGAATGAATAAATGGATGGATTAATGCCAATGGACTTGCAACCTCTGTGTCTGTGACAAATTACTTTCTACTGCAAGCCTCATCCACACCTGTGCACGACCCAACATCCATGAATCCACCTGAGGAAACTCGGGGTTCAGCGTCTTGCTCGAGGGTGCTTTGGCATGCAGTATGTGGTGCACCACAGACCAGCTGCAGACTGACTAGAACTGGTTCCAATGTGTTGCAAATCTGAGGCTGCAAGGGACCCGCTCACGGCGAGCTGTGACATACTTCCATTAAAGCGAGCGCTGAAGCTCCACACACACATTTAAACTGCTTCTCCTACAAAGGAGGTCGATGAGCTCACACACTCGTTTTAGCTCCGCACACACAAACCAACAGAGTAAGTACCGGTGCGTCTCGGGGTCTGGGTGGCGGTCAGCGCGACTCTACGCAGGCAGAGCAGTTTGAGGAGGGGGGACGTCTGCTGGTTGAGCTGGCTCAGCTCTCTTTTAGCCCGAGACAAGTTTATGCTGCAGAGACAGAAGAACGGGGGACAGACGATCGGTCAGAGACATCGAACGGACACATTCGCAAAGCTTCAGTGGCTCGGGCTAAAGGAAGGAGGCACACAGCTAAACAACAGATTCAATTTACAAAACAGAGACAGAACCAATCACACGGTGCAATGAAACATGACGCAAGTCTTCATGATCGCTCTATTTCACCAGTAACCCTTGGATGGTCTCCACTGTTGGGACCCTGAGCTGTCCCTCGGGTCAGACTGACCAGGACGTATTTAAAAACAAGTCTGAAATAAAATTTGACTTCATAAACCATGAACACGTATCGTGTTTGTCTATGCGAGCTGCTGGAACGCTGCCACGATCAGGTCACCTTAACTGGGTCCGTGTAAACGTTGAAGGCATTTTGCACATTTAAACATCGTCTGTAACGTGTTCAGAACAGCAAGCGCTGGTTAAACCTGTCAGCAGAACCAGATTTGACGCTGCAGAGGTCTGGGTCTCAAAGTCCGCTCCGGTGTGGAACTGACCTGAACTCGGGTTTGACTCCCAGCTCTTTCTGCTGCAGCTCCTGCAGACTCCTGGTGGTTTTGTTGAAGGCAGCGTCCTGTCGACCGGCAGCACAAGAGACGGGAGAGGAACTTTTGAAACTGTCAAAGCCTCTTTTTGGGGTCATCACAGTAATAAAGAGCAAGAAGGAGAAATATTAAGGCTTCCATCACTGAAACAACGATCCCTCTGCAAAGACAAGTGATCCCTGCAAGCTGCGTGTTTGACGTTATATCTGCAGCAGCGCGCAGCAAAAACACCACAGGGATGTGTGTGTATGCAGGAGGCACGTGAGCAGATCACTCAGGATCTGGTGGTGGAAGAAAGCGGACGAACAGACGGTTTATTCGCTCCCTCGTTACGTCTAATGAGGAAATCTGAGCTCAGACCTACCTGGCTGGCCTCAAGCGTTCCCACAAAGTTAAAGATTAATTCATGGATACCATGATGAACGTACATCTGGGAAAAGAAGAGGAAAACCAATATTTTAATACGTGTCAGGAACAGCTCATCAAAGTTTCTCACCTCGCACCAAAATAGCTGCATGTTTGGATTATTAAGCTGCTTCTGTCACATGTAGCTTTGCCCACATTGAGCTCCGTCTTATTTTTTGTAAATATCTTATTGAGTTTATTCGGCTTATTAATCGATTCCTTTACAGTTTCACTGGCATGAAGCAGGAAGTTACGTGTGACAGCTGTGGGAGCTTCTGCATGTGTTTGATGAAATCTGACTTTCTTGCAAACTTAAACTTGCGTCTACGTGTCAACCTTTCTCCTTCACTGAACCCAGAGACGTTACCTCCACTGCCTGTTTGAGGAGCGTCATCTGAAGCTCCTGCTTTGCCAGAAGTTTCTGCAGAAAACACAAAGCATGCAGGGGAAGAGGAAGGCGTTAGAGGATGTGATCAGGCCCAAAACTGCTGAGTCGCAGACGCCGCGGCCACATATCATCGAATCATCCAGTCCAGAGGAACTCGCAGCATCCTGCGTGTGTGCGTCGGGTCAGAGGTCACGCTGATTAAAGGAAGCTGATTTGAAGCATTAGTTACAGCGGTCACATGACACTGTTTGGGGTTCGATCCTTTCCGAACCGGAGGAAACGATTCCTCCCCACATGACAGCAGCAAAACGCTCACGTGTGCAAAGCCAACAGATGAACGTAACGTGGCCGCATTAACACAACATTTTACAACGAGGTTGATCTAACGAAGCATTAACGACCAACGATGATGTTTCACCAGAATGCTTCCTCTGGTTTATGTGCTGTTTCGTTTCATTTCCCACAAAGAGGGAAGCGACTGCACCGAGGTCACAGATGCCTGAATCAACGAAAGCAGGACTTTTCTGAACTACAGCTGCCGACTCAGTACAGCCCCCGCTTACATGCAACGCTCACATGAGCTTCTTCTGCAGTAAAAAGCATGTTGGACTGTCATGATTGTTCACAGCACACTGCTGAGCATCTGTGTTTCCTGCCTTAACACAGGACGTTGTGAGGGAATCACCAAGTTTGCACACAGCAGAAACAATGAGTGACAGAAATCTGCATTTTCTCCCAATTTTTATGTTATTTTAGAGATTTGAATAAGAATCCTTTTAATACAGGTGATTTTGCTAAAACCTCTGTAGTTGGTGCCACAGATTCAACATCCTGACCGACTGGACTGCTCGTCCTTTGTATGGTGCAAATCTCTTATCCAGCTCAGGCTCACAGCGGACTGGATCGCTGTTAAACTAAAACAGCAGCCTCTCAGTGAGTAATCAGCACTTTCCATCAGCTGCTCTTCCCTCCGGCAGAATCGGCTCTCAAACACAAGCTCACAGTTTTATTAAAAAGAAACGAAGCGGAGACACGGAGAGCTTTAACAGTCACATGCTCAAAAAGCACGGCCGTGTTACTCGACCACGTTTCTCACGCCTTTGATGTCATCGTGCAGCTGAGGGACAAATGAAACAAAGTCAGATAATCACACGAATAACCGTGAACGCACCGAGCCACCATGCAAACCAGAGAAGCACGCGAATAATAAAGACATAGAAGAGTGAATATTGGCCCCAGGTGAAGAAGCCAGAAATAAATATTCTCCAAATCAAGGAGAGAAAGGCGGATTTTCATTCAGCCAGTTTTAACGTGACAAATAAAGATTGTTTCTACTCACCAGGTGAGAGTCTCTCAGCAGACACTGAAGACACTTAGTGTAAAGACCGTTCACCGAGTCCTGACAGGAAACAGAACAGCTGTTAGCTCAGCAGGAAAGAAAAAAGTCGAACGCAAAAATCCCCTAAAGACTCGAAAACATTCAAACACATTAACGCTAAAAAGATGCACGCTCTCCTGGAGGTGTTGTTTGCATTGTTGTCATGTATTAAATCAAAGTGAAGCTAGCTGGAGGAGCCTTAAACCTGCACTCTTTTTGATGGCCACTGGGGGGCGATAGCTGCAGCTGTACAATGACAAGTTCTGTAGACATGTGACATCAACTTGTCTGCCAATAACAGGCCTCGAGACGAGTCTGCAACCATCTGCAACCACAGGGAGGATTTCCAACCAGCTGTGAGTGACGCTGGAGACCGATGGTAGCTGCTGGGAAACCATCGCTCAAATCAGTCGGTGGCCCTGGTAACCACCAGACACTGACACGGATTACCCAACCAGCTGGAAAAACCTTGTGATTGCATCAGTATTTCTGCCTTATCTGAGTCATGGGAGCGCAAACCTGTCTGTGGTAAAAGAATGACGAAACCTGTGAGGCGTGCTATTTTAGGTCAGACACGCGCAGAGCTCCGTTTCCTTCAGACCCCCGTTTGTCACTCTAGTCCGTTTATCACCAGGGTTGTGTTTTGTGTCTGTCATCCCTACTATGTGGTGCCGGAGTCCCTTCCTCTCCTGCTCCCTGAAGGCCTGACAGAAGCTCTGGATGTGCTTGTCCATCTTCTGGGCGTGGCGGCCCAGGAACTCCCTGACGTCCTCCAGGCTCCTCAGGCTGTAAGAAGACGGCGTGCTGACCTCGGACAGGCTCGGGTCCACCTCCATGGGCCTGGAGACGCACAGGATGCTGTAGCTTTGCTCCCGGTCGTTGTAGAAGGTCTCCTCGAACAGGATGGGGATCGACACTGGAGCCGGGAACCCGGATCCCAGCAGGACCTGCCTGTCCTGGATCCGGACCTCCTGTAACACACACAGAGGTAAAAAGCTGTTAAACAGCCTCTTTTTGTATTTTTAGGACTGTAAAAGTAGGACAGCGGTGCGTTTAAACTCAGCCTCTGGCAACAACGAGCAGCACAGACTGGCTTGTGTTGAAGACAGACCTTCCCGTCCGCAGTCTTATAACCGTCCTCCACGGGCTGCAGCACATAGCTGTCGAAGTGAGAGTCCGAGTAGCTGCTGAGGGTCAAACTTCCACAGCACGGCACCAGAACCTGCAGGTTCAAGGCGACACGCAGGGTATTCCATTTATTAAGCACTCAGCACAGATTTAGAGTGACCTTTCCACACCAACGACAATCAGATAAGGTCTGATCTGTGTTAGGAAGCAGAAAATAGGATCAAATGGTACAAAGAGTGGAATCTTCACTGTATTAACTGCGGTTAGATGATGAACAGCACTGAGATGGCTCCTGGCCTCTAACTCACTCACGCTTTTAAAGTAGTAGATGTTTATCGTGAAGTATACGGCACTTCGGTGTGTGGTGGGAGTATTAAAATACAGAGCCGAGGCTCCACAGTGTTTCTCTGCACATTCGAGTATCCGATGGTCTGAAAATAGCGCAGAAACACTGACATTAAACAGGCGTAATTTGTTTTTAAGATGTTCACATGAAGTCAATAAATGCACATGACCTGATCGGCAGCATTTGATTAAGGATCTGAAGACGCAGTCACGAGCCAGAGCAGCTGCTGAAGCCCTGACGTAGGCACAGCATGTGCACGCTGTGCCATGTAGAACTGATTTTTCCGCCTCTGCTGCGAACCGCAGCTTTAATGCACTTACACGCATTTTTTTCCCCACTGATGTTTTGACGGCGTGCAGATGACCCGACTGGCCGGCGTTCAGACATCTGATTCTCATCTGCTGCTCCAGGCGTCCGATCGTCATCTTTAACAAGCTCAAACGAGGTTTAGAGCGCCGCTTTGCAGCTTGTCAGCTCATCTGATATCTCTGCGCTTCACTGACAGCCAAATGAAATGTATCAACCCCGCTTTAACAGTCCGACCAAAACAATGCTCCTCTAACTCACTGAGAGTGAAGGGATGGCAGCAGAGCACGTTGAAACCACCAGAAACCCCACGCTGACCCACCGTGAGGCAGGAAGTGGTGTAAAGGTGTCGCTGTGTTTGAAACCCCGGCTGAGCGCGCTTCTTTTACCTCAAACATTGTAACAGAGATAACGTCCCCGACTCTGATCTTTAACCTGCTTTAAGGGGCTGGTGTGATTCTCAGCTGTTTGTAGGCGCAGCCTTCAACCACTGAGGAGGAAGCGAGAAGCTGTTCTGTGATAGAAACTGGCAGAGCTCTGCAGCCGGCTCACACCTGGACTTATTCAGGTTCTGCTGCAGTTATTTTGAGCTCTGTGCCGTTTCCTCATTTTCACCTCCCCCCTGTTGTTTATTAGTGCAAACCTTCCTGAGCAGAGACAGACGCTCAGACCCCCAGCCACCTGCAGACGAAGCAACACGAGGGTCTCCAGCTGCACACTGATGTGTTCCTAACACAGACGAGCAGCGCCGTCTCTCTGGCGTGTGCTGGATCTGCCTCGCGGTCTTCTCATGCCTGACATCACTTCCTCCGTGAGGCAGCCGGGTCAGATGGACCTGAGCTCCTCACCCTGTCACCGAAGCTCAATTCTTCTGCTTGTTCATTCACAATTCCTACTATCAGGGCTGTGCGATATGACCACAATCTCATATCCCGATATAAGACATCTGTCGTCCCGGTAACGATATAAATCAAAAATGTAACATTTTCTGTTAATTCTGTGAATCTCGGGCAGCTCGACCTGCGTGAAATGTTTCCAGCTGGGCGTCGTGTAGCTGGAGTTTTAACCGATGCATGAAACGATACATTTTTAGACATAAGTTGTAACGGCGCCGTTTCTTTGTGAGTATTTATTACACGGCGGGGAGAAGCCTGCTCTAACGTCTGAGTCTAAGCTTTATTTTTTAGCACCTGACGTCTTTTTTACTTCTCATCTGTAAACACTCTGCTCTTTCACGTGATTCAGTTTATTTTGAAAAGTCTCAACAGGATCCTGAGGTTTATTGTGAAAGGTTTATGTGGAACATAAACAAGCGGACACGCGATGGCGTTACCGTCGTTGTTGCTAACAACAACGCATAAAAACAGGCGCTTGTCCGTCCGTAGTGTGGTTTTATTAAATATAAGAGAAAGAGAGAACTTTAAGAAATGAATACAGCCACTGCAGTGATCAAAGCATGAACAAATATTGCTGTAACAGTTTATTTTGCGACACCACGAAACAAACGACAGACGTTTTTATATCGTCATCCGATATATATCGTTATATCGAACAGCCCTACCTACTGTTACATTTAATCACATCTGCTCAGTCTGAAGCATTTTCCACCCATTTTTAAAAAACATTGATCATCTAAGTGAATATAGACGCCGCAGACTCACAGCTATGTGACACCCAGACAGAGCGCTCTCTGATTAATCGCCGTCTGATATCGTGATCCGGTAGCTGATCCTCACATACATGCAGGTGGGCTTGTCTGGTGACATAAATGAGATGACGGGTCAAACTCACGATGCCGTGGAGCTCTGCCACTTGGCTGCAAAGGTCGGGTCTCTGCTTCTCCAAGGCCAGGTAGAAAGGATTCTTCAGGATGTTCTCATCATATACAGCCATAAGGAGCTGGAGGTCTGGATCCTGCAGACGGGACAGGAGGATGATGGCAGGAAAGACCTTAATTATCAACCAAGTACGTGTCAAGGACTTTTATAAGTATGTGACCAGTTAAACCCTTCGTGGGGAGAGGACTGTGGGGTGCAGCCCTGTCAGGACTCATCTTCTGGGGATTATAAATAATTGTAGAGAATAAATCTTCCACATCAGCCTCTCTGAGAGCAGCTGCTGGTTTCCTGTCGATAGCATGTGGCAATACTGCTCATTGATGTTTGAGAAAAGCCAAGCAACAACAACAACAACAACAACAACGACAAAAGATCTCATGATTCCTTAATGCCTCCAAATTTGAATCTTAGGACAAGACCTGAAAACAAGCTCATTAATGGTCTTTGAGGCCACCGGACAAGAAGTCCCTTTCAATCTCGTTTCCAGCCTAATGTGGGTGGGGGTGGGGCTTATGTTCCCATCTCGTTCTGTCAATCTGCAGTGTTCAGGCCCCCCAGAAGTCGCTCACGGTCACGTATGAAGCTGTGCTGCCTGGATCTGAAGAAACCAGGGCTGCTTCTCTCTCAGCTGATCCAATTCTTATTGAACTGGTTTATTTCCGTACGATTGATCTAATAATCCTCCATCCAGACAAAGCTTCACCGGCTCCAACCTGGCCAGGCTGGATGTGAGGCCTCGGAAAAATCTCCCCGAGTCTGTAGTTACTAATGCTGCAAATAAGAGCGTTAATGTCTAATTACAATTCACCGAGCCTAAAGAGGTGAGCAGTTAGGTGGTTTGAACTTTTGACTCCATCTACCTGCAGCTGTAAACCGCGAGTCCTCTGAAGGTGTTACAGGACTGTAGATGCCTTCAACAGAAGACACATTGTTTTGAACCTGGGTGTGACAGCGCTTTTATTTTGAAAAAACCCATGCTATCAAAGCTAACTTCTTTTAAGCTTCTGTAAAGCTGGAGCGGTCTTCCAGCTTCAAAGAGTTTAAAAGTTATCTGCTTCTGACCCAGTCTCTGAGGCCTCTTCCTTAGAGACTGGGCGAGAAGTTCAGTTATCCAGGAGGAGCTCGGAGCAGAGCCACTACTCCTCCACCTTGAAAGGAGTCCGCTGAGCTGGTTTGGGGACCTGGCTAGGATGAATCCCTCCCGAGTGAAGTATTTCAGGCATGTCCTACTGGGAGGAGGCCGCGGGGTAAACCCAGGACTCACTGGAGAGATAATGTCTCTTGGCTCTCCCGGGAACGCCTGACTACATTCACCCATTCACACACACAAGCCCTAGATGAGCGTGGAGGAGGTGGCTGGGGGGGCTGATCTTCTCTGCTCGGGCTGCTGCCCTGCAATAAGAGGCTCTAATTTCTGATCTTTAACCCTGCACACTTCCACTGATCACCAAACTGTTTTCAAAATTGTACTAAATGCAGAAGTATTGCATATCAGCATCACTCACACCGATGACCAAAAGACTGGTGTCAACTAAAATTGTTCCCATTCTTCAAAAGAACCAGTCAGAGGTGTACACTGGTCAAGCTTGTCTGATTAGAACTGCTGTTACAGCATCTGGATTTACTGAAAGAAGTGGAACATTTTCTAAACCTTTCAAAGGTAAAACACTGAATGCACCAACTGTAACAGAGCCGATTATTTTTTCGTTGTTTCGACTGATTGAAACGTAATCAGCAGCTAGTTCAATAAACAGGCATTTTAGTCCAGTTCTGAAGTAAAAGCCGTTCCCTGTTTGTAGCGTCTGCAGTGTGAGGATCTGAATGATGTGTTTGGGACTAAACTGATTATCTCAGTTCATGCATTCAATAATAAACAACTTTCCCCCACACATCAGTGAGCTGCAACCGGAGTTTTGTGGAAACAATGCACAAAAAAGCAGGTCATCTCCTTGCCTGCATTTAGCTGGTATATCAAATCAAATCAAATCAAATCACTTTTATTGTCACATCACATGTGCAGGCACACTGGTACAGCACATGCGAGTGAAATTCTTGTGTGCGAGCCCCACAAGCAACAGAGATGTGCAAACACAACAACACAAACGAGCAAAATACAAGAATGGCCAACCTGAAACTAATAAATATATGTACAATATATAATAGTGTATGCATTTCTGGATGTGTATACTAAATATTTTCCTACGTGTGTGTGTGTGTGTGTGTGTGTGTATACACATTTTTACAAATTAAATAGTAAAAAAAAAAAATAATAATAAAAAAAATAATAATAATAATAAAATATATAAAATATACAGAGTTGAATATGTGCAAAACAAGTGGCATTTATATACAGTGTGGAGTGCATAATGTTAAAGTTCCAGTAGTGAAGCTGAGGTGTCTATGACGTGTTCAGCAGTCTGATGGCCTGATGGAAAAAGCTGTCTCTCAGTCTGCTGGTACGGGACCGGATGCTGCAGAACCTCCTTCCTGATGGAAGCAGTCTGAACAGTTTATGGCTGGGGTGACTGGAGTCCTTGATGATCCTCCCCGCTTTCCTCAGGCAGCGCTTCCTGTAGATGTCTTGGAGGGAGGGAAGCTCACCTCCAATTATCCGTTCAGAGCACCGCACTACTCGCTGGAGAGCTTTGCAGTTGTAGGCGGTGCTGTTGCCATACCAGGTGGTGATGCATCCAGTGAGGATGCTCTCAATGGCACAGTGATAGAAGGTCCTGAGGATGCGGGGGCTCATGCCGAATCTTTTCAGTCTCCTGAGAAAGAAGAGGCGCTGCTGCGCCTTCTTCACTGTTTTGTTTGTGTGTACTGACCACGTAAGATCCTCAGCCAGATGTACGCCAAGGAACCAGAAGCTGCTCACTCTCTCCACAGCAGCGCCGTTGATGGTGATGGGGGTGTGTACTTCTCTGCACCTCCGGAAGTCCACTATCAACTCCTTTGTCTTTGCGACGTTGAGGGTGAGATGGTTGTCTTGACACCAGTGGGTCAGGGCGCTGACCTCCTCCCTGTAAGCCGTCTCATCACCGTTGGTGATAAGACCCACCACTGTAGTGTCGTCCGCAAACTTCACAATGATGTTGGAGCTGTTAGTGGCTGTGCAGTCGTAGGTGTAGAGTGAGTACAGGAGAGGGCTCAGTACACACCCCTGTGGAGCACCAGTGTTCAGTGTGATGGGGGATGAGGTGATGCTGCCCAGTCTGACCACCTGGCGTCTGTCAGACAGGAAGCTAAGGATCCAGCTGCAGAGGGAGCTGCTCAGTCCTAGATCCTGCAGTTTCCTGTCCAGCTTCGAGGGAACGATGGTATTGAATGCTGAGCTGTAATCTACAAACAGCATCCTCACATACGTGTCTCTCTTCTCCAGGTGTGACAGGGCAGTGTGTAGTGTCAGGGCTATGGCATCATCAGTGGACCTGTTGTGGCGGTATGCAAACTGTAGAGGGTCCAGTGAGTCGGGTAGTGCAGAGCAGATGAAGTCCCTGACCAGCTTCTCGAAGCATTTGCTTACGATGGGGGTCAGGGCTACAGGTCGCCAGTCGTTCAATGAGGAGATGGTGGAGGATTTGGGTACAGGGACGACGGTGGCCATTTTGAAGCAGGCTGGGACTACAAACAGAGAGAGGGAAAGGTTGAAGATGTGCGTGAACACTCCAGCCAGCTGAGCCGCGCATGACCTGAGGACGCGGCCGGGAATCCCGTCCGGACCAGTAGCTTTGCGTGCGTTCACCTTCCTGAAGCACCTCCGCACATCCTCCTCAGACACAGTGTGCGGTGTCATCCGCGGTGCGCACACTGTCCGGTCTCATGGTGTTCGCTGTGTCGAATCTAGCGTAGAATACGTTTAGATCCTCACACAGAGAGGCCGTGGTCTGCGGTGTGCTGGTTTTCCCTCTAAAGTCTGTGATCGTGTTTAGTCCCTGCCACATACTCCGAGGGTTGTCAAACTGTTGCTCCACCCTGTCCCTGTACTCACGTTTGGCTGCTTTGATCGTCTTCCGGAGTTGGTAATGTGCGTGTTTGTAGTCCGATGTGTTCGCGGAGGCAAAGGCAGTGTTTCATTGTCGTTGTGTTGATAAGGAAAGTAAAAACCACCACGCTCCATTTTCTGTCTCACATTTCTGCAAGTGAAAAGTTAAAAATTCCCACAGGTTATAAAAGTGTGATTTCCTTCACTGAGGCGGCAGATGTGTAATCAGCCAGATGTGTTCGGCCTGAGGCGAAGCTCTTACACCTCACCCAGAGAACACAGATCACCAGAGAAAAGCAAAAGGGTCTCAGACTCATGCACAGCTCTCTGAGCTCTGCAGCAGCTCCGTTCTTCTCTTCTTCAGTCGTTCTGTTGCAGACCTGCCGCTGTGCTGGGATCTTTGTCCTGTTGATGACCCAGTTTGGTCCGAGCTTCAGCTGTGGGACACACGGCCTCACACTGACTCTACAGAGGAGCTCATGGTCCACTCAGATCATCGTCCCTCCTCCACCGTGCTGACGGCTGTATGAGGTGTTTGTTTCCTCCAGACGTGCTGCTGTGCGTGATGGACGAACATCTCCACTGTGGTCTTGTCTGTTCCAGGAGTGTGGAGCTACGCTGTGCTGCTGTTTGTATTTTAGAGAGAAGAGGCTTCCTCCTGCAGACCTTCCAAACAGCCATACTTGCTCACTCTGTTTGTATTTGCACTGCCGTAAACTTTAACATTAAAAATGATAACGATACAGTCAGAGATGAAGTCTTAAGACGTAACCGAGTCTTTAGCAGTGATTGTAAAGAAGACACACATTTCCTCAGGCAGGTTGTTCCACAATCCAGAAGCCCTAACAGCTCGAACCCTTCTCGCTAACATCAGAAGTCGCACACCAGTTGGAACAAGAACAGCAGGTCGAGTACCTTTACAGGGGCCGTGCAGGGCTTCAAAATATAACAATAAGACTGTAAAAATCAATCCAAACAGCAGAACCGTTAGAAGGGCTGTAATGTGCTCACTTTTCTTGGTTCTTTTAAGAAGTTTGGCTGCTGAGTCCGAGGGTTTTTCTATTAAAACACCATTTACCTTTTAAAAAGTCAGCACAGCTAATAAAACAAAGGCGTGGGATCCACGTAATCTGTTCTTCTTCCCATTTCTAGCCTGAACATCAAAAGGAGAAACAATGCCAACAAAGAAAACTCAATGAAAACAGAAAGTGGTCTGAGAGGTCTGATAAAAACATGACTGAAATGATACTCTGCAGCACATCCATGAGATTACAAACGTTACTGTACGAGCGCCAAATTTAATTTAAAAACACTTCATTCATCTGCGCGCCAAAACCACAACAAACCAGATCAATTCTACAGAAAACACGATCAGTTCTGCCCATTAAAGAGTCAGATTTTTATTTAATGACAGAAAAATACGTTTTTAAACATTTTCTGATCTCTTAAAAATCTCTAAACTGACCGCTCACACCTTGCAGGTGATCCACTCACCTCAGAGGTCAGCTTCATCCTCCCTGAGCTCCCACACACGCACTGGAAACCAGTTCAGCACAACACACACAGTAAATCCCCACCCGAGCAGCTCCATGCTGGGAAAAAAACATCACGTGACCCTCGTGACCTCCCAGGCTGGAAGCAAAACAGCAGACAGAGGAATGTCCATCCACTCGGGCTTGAGCCACATTCACAGCTGATGTCTTAGCCTCAGGTTGAAGGGAACAACAGCATCACCAACAAAACACCGAGATCACCGTCCAAACTCAGGATAATAAACCCCAGTCACACCAAAGTCCTGTGATCTGAAGACACAATGACTCACAGACTCACTTTCCTGAGTGGATGCTTAGTTGTTTCGTCTAAGATGAGCGGTATTAGCTCCGCCCCCTCTAAGTCAACCACCTTCTGGTTGGCTGCCCCTCACAAGCTGTAGGATGTTTATGCACACACTGGTCTTAGTAAAACTTTGGTCATGTTTAGTATGAATATTCACCACTAGAATAGGAGACATGAAGGAATATAAGGAAAAGTAGGATCATTTCAACACAAAACAAGGAGACAAATCGGGAGTGTTTTATCTTTTTAACTGATTCGCATCACTAAGGACTTGGATTTTATATTCCAGGTTTCTCCGAAATGCAGCTTTAAACTGGCACACTTGCACTTCACACTTAGCAGAGGTGGCCTGAGGGTTTTCTTCCACTCTTTTAAGTCTTATTATCTCATATGTTCACTCATACTCTCTCTTTCTATTATGATTTTTTTTACTGTGTTATATTGGGTTATCAACCCATCTGTTTCGAGTAAACACCTAGATGTTCTTCTTCGATTTGCTATTATATATAAACAAATACAATTTAATGTGTATTTTCCTGTTTTGTGGTATAGATATCCATAAAACAAGAAGGTAACTTAAAATGAAACTAAAGTCGTAACTCTTAAATTTGACATTTTGTGAATGGAGTCTGGCGTGGCGCTGGAAGCAGCTAATAAACTGTGTCACGGTACCGTTCACATGACAGGTGCAAGGAGGAGTTTTATGCTGCTCGCTGATAAATTAATATTTGAAGTTATCCATAGTTATCTAACAATTGTTTGTTCGGTTTTGTGCGTCTGTCAGTAAACGGGGACTTTAAGTTTTTAAATTAGCCTCCTAGCTAAAACCAAAAATACAGCCTGTAGCATTAGCGTTTCTGGGGATTTACTGTTGCCTTAGCGTAGTGACACGTTAGCGTTTCCAAACACGGAATTGAGCCAACAGATGTGATGATTTGGAAGAAGACTGATTTTACCTGCTATTAACGAGTCCCTTCGGTCATCCAGGGTTTAGCATGTCAAAGCCAAACAGCCTCAGCAGCAGCAGCCTGCCAGGAGCCCTACGAGCTTATCAACCTTGCGAGACGAATTGCGATAAATAAGCTGCTAAAACGAGCCGATTCGCCGATTATAGCGTCCTGAGTCTGATTCTGTCCAAGTAAAACTTTTACAGAAGAAGAAACGCGTTCATGTACACGAACGTTTCATTTATGGGATCTGATGTGGACAAATTAAAGGGGAGAAGCGCACCGGGTCACACCGACCCCTACAGGCCAGCGCGGTGTACTGCACCTCCATCTTCTGTAACTCTCCGTCACCACCATTACACCCACACTTCCAGGTCTCTGATAGGATCGGAGCTCAAGACCACACATTTCATCAAGCATTATTTTTTATGTCACTACTTTATTTTATCCATTTTGTGCTTGTTCTCAATTTTATTTACTTCCCCAGCGCTGTCTTCATATTTAATTATTTCCGTAATTTCCATGCACTAACCTGCATGTAAGATGCTATACCAAGTTTGCAGGATGTATATACATTTTAAATAGCAGTGACAGAAGCAGTTTATGTGAACAAATCATTTTTTTAACTCAAAGTGATGAGAATCAAATCTTTACACAACATTTAAAGAAACAGTGAGCCGAGTTACAGCTTCAAACTTTGCAAAATGAATTTTATTTATGGGGAACAAACGCCAGCCTGAGAAACTTCACCTATGCTTGATTACATGAGATTCTTTGACTTTGCTGTTTTTAGTGCAGGTGGAGGTACAGGAGACTGAAGAACAAGTTTCACGCAGCACTTTGTAAAACCAAGAGAGAGAACTGGAAACAAATGACCTGCTGCAAACACCTTTCACCAGCAGGAGGCAGATTTACCCAGGAAGTTTAATGTAGTAGCTGAAACTTGAAATGAGAACAGTTTGAGAGCAAGTTCAGCATCATCATCCATTCATTGACTCTCTTATTGGACAAAGGATGATGAAGCTGCCAGGCAGCAGGAAAAGAGGAAGACCTCAGAGAAGATTCATGGATGTAGTGAAGGAGGACATGCAGAGGGCGACGCTGGGATAGGAGGAGATGGAGGCCGATGAGTCGCTGTGGTGGGCAAAAGAAGGTGGTGGCGATTCATTCCTCTGCATTTTCTCTTCCCCCTCGTCTATTTTGATCATTTCATTCTGGGAATTGGTGCCGAGTGAGAGGAGTCGCTTTCCAGGTGCTTCAGCTACTGTTTGGTGCCTCATACACGAGAACACCCATCCTTCCTAAACCTCTCCTCCTAGTTTCCTCTCATGTCACCTCAGTTCAGTCTCACGTGTTTTTATTCGCTGAAAGTAAAAAAAGCTGAGTGCAGATCTTCTGGGTGTACAAATGTCTTAGTTTGAAACTTTCCAAAATTAACAAAGCTATTCTTAAGTGCTGGAATTTACAGTAAATACTGAGTACTTTTACAGGAAACAGAAAAAAATTAACTGACGGCCACTTTGCAACCCGCCTCCGTCCCAGCTCCTCCTTTTCAGTGTGACTCAAGTATTGCATTAACTGATTAGGAATTACAGCCATTTACACACACAGTCAACCACCATGAGACAGCTCCTTCCATGACAACATGAGCAGATGAAATACACAGAACTATTCCATCAAGGAAGCGAGCGAGGCTAAAAGAAAGAAAGAAAAATAAACCTTTAGGACTGGCCAAATAAACAATCTGGATCTTTCTTTAAAAAGAAGGAAAGCGCCGAGCACGTCAGCAGCACCAAAGTGTCTGCGAGACAAATACAGTGGATGATCAGAGAGGTATTTCCATGCTTCACGAGATCTAACAAACCGAGAACACGACGAGGAGGCAGAGGTATAACTGTGAAGGTCAACAATCACGCCACGCCTTCACAAATGGAAATGCAAACAGTTTACAGATGAATCATCATCATCATCATCATCATCTACAGAGTGGGCCACTGTGGGGAAAATGGGTGTAATTCATAAACAGTAACAGAACTGGTGTGAAAACCTGAATTAAAGCTCTAAGTTGGCCCTTCAGTCACATCCAGTGTTTGATTCAAATCGACTGCGATGGCAAAAGTTAAACAGTTTCATCTTCCAGCTGCTCGTCTGTGTTCTTCTCCTCAAAGAGAGAGTTTTAAGGAGAAGAACAAGCCCAGGCTGAACACTATGAAACCAACCCGCACTAAATAACAGCAGTAAAGACTCCCTTTAACACGACAAATGAGAACAAGAATCTCACGACCTGAATCTGAAATGGAACAAGCATGGGGCACGAATCTCAGCCGGCACCGTCAGCTCACACTGAATATTTTTAATCATCTGTAAAATTAAGCTTAAAAAGGAACATTTTCATTTCAAACTTAAAACAACTCCCTCTCAAATCTCTAAATCTTAGACTAGTTTAAATTCTCACCGTCAGTTTATACATGTACACTTCTTATTGTAAACTTTATATTTAAGACTTTGCTGTTGTTGCTGCTGCACAATAAAAAGCTCCTATGGAGGCGAAGCGACCAATTACAGACGAGAATTTGAAATAAAGAAAAATCTAAATGCAGTTTTGGCTCAAGTCATTACATTTACCTGACAATATTCCCTGTGACACACACACACACACACACACACACACACACACACACACACACACACACACACACACACACTACGACTGTTTCAGAACAACGGGGGAAAAAATCAAAGTGAAAACAGAATCTGAATTTTTTTTCCTGTCACTGACATGACGGCGAGAAACGCTGCAGCTGGACTCTCGTGGAAGTAAATCTGGAACCCCTACTCTGTGCTGAAGTTAATTTGCTCCCATTGAAAAGGCAGAAGCCTCAAACATTACTGAGGTCAAAGGTCACAGAACAGAAACCACGACCCCGAGGATGACGATGGTTGGAGGATGTTATATAAAGTCGTCGCTCTCACTGCTGCTCTCCGAGTTCCTGTACCAGTCATCTTCACCCGTGTTCTCCACAAACCACTGACCTGACAACCAAAAAATAAAACAGGGTAAAAACATTAAATCCTGTTTCTAAGAAAGCTGAAGAGCTGCAACACTGAAGGGAAATAAATAAAAACACAATTCAATGATTCAAAAATCAGTTTAAAAAAAACCCACCAGTACAAAGACAACGCATCAAACATCACAAACGCAGAAATTCTGTGGATGATAGAAAATATCTGTTCGTTTTACATGTTGCATCACAGTAGTGCCGCACACAGCAAGACACCCGTCACCCTGAATGGGACCAGTGGAAGAAGATCGATGGACTTCGCTTCACTCAGTCTGAACCATGCAGAGAAACGTGTTCCTGAACATTTAAGGTCTGCAGCCTGGCCTGTGCACACGTTTCTCTGCATTATATCAAGATTTCCATTTTTATTGTGAAAACCAATGATCTTTTGCATTTTGACACCGACAATGTTTCCATAAACTGTTCGACTTCTCGTCTGTGAGGGCAAAACAGCCGGGAGTCGTGGCAGTGCGGGGGCGGAGCACCGAGGTGAAAGGCAAAGCTTTCCATTTCCAATCCACCAACTTTACAACCATCGCTGCTTTGAACATTGCGTTTCTCCAGACCTCTGATGTCCTCATCCAAACTATTTAGAAAGGTTTTAAATATTGGGCTTACGTGATTTGCAAATCATTCCGTTTTTGTGCACATTATCCAGAATCCCTAACATCAGCGTTTCACGTTCTCAGATTCCATCAATAACAGTCACATTTAGACTTCGTTGGGCTTTCAGGATCTTACCATTTGGCACTCCGTCCTCTTCCTCACCCTCAAAGTGCTCCATGTCATAACTCACAAATATATTCTAGGACAAGAAATATCCTATTAGTATTGCTGCTTTTCATAACAAGGGGCAATTACTGCTTTTACTATATTTCCTTACAGTTAACGTGAAGATAATCCTATATTTCTTCTGTAAATCAAAGAAAACTAAATCAGTACCTTGTTTCTGAGGAGTTTGTCCCAGATTCCCGGCTGCTGCTTGACCAGTTTGAGAACTGGTTCATTGTATTTCATTTCCCAGCAGCAAACGTCAGCTGCGATTTCGTAGCGAAGCCCCAGGTCAGCTCTGTAGAACCGACCGTTCACGCTGCCACTGAACACAATCAGCAAAGAGAGAGCAATCAGCAAAGGACCAGTTCTTCTGTGTAGTCATCTATTGTAGTAAATACAGTAGGACTGTCCCCAGAGGACTGCCCTCTGCTGTGAGGGACAGAGTACGTCTGATTTTATAGGGAGGTGGTGGTGAGATAAACGGGGCGCGAAGGATTTTACAGAAGACGCAGGACTTGACTGGGAGCAAGAGGAGGTGCAGCGTCCAGGACTGAACGAGGCTTCAGCGGCTGGAGTCTGTTTTAGAGAGGATTTAATGTGTGATGACTGAGAGGGTGGAGTCGTGGATGAACTCCATGTTGTGGACCTCTGAAGTCACAACCAGGGAGGCCAGAGTAGTTACACAAGCAGTTAAAGACGGACTAAGGAGACTGAAAAACTCCTGAAAGGTCCCAGAGGAGGAGGATGCTGATGTGTCCCCAGTCTGCAGCAGTGAGGTCATTTGTTGTATTTATGAGGGCCATGTCCGTTTTTTTGAGAATGGAGGAGACGGCAGCTGTTTGAGAACTGCCAGGCTGGGTCCTAAGGATTTACTGATGATGGAAACATGATGACACAGGGGGGGCAAGACCTGACCGAGGCGGTCAGCCTGTGATCCAGAGGACAGGTGGAGCAACTTTAATGACCGGCTAAGTAACTTCAAGATGATGGGATGAGAGTGGACAGGACTTTGTTGTTTTGTGAGAGTTTAATGCGTTTTCATCTACACGTGTAAGCTGCTCTCAGGCGCTTTGTGTAAAACAGAGCCTGATGACAGCTTTCTTTGCACAGAGCTTGGATTGCATGTTCTTTTCTTACTTATCCAAATGTTTTTTTAACCGAGACAACAAGCATATCCTACTGCAAATAAACTACCTGCGTTCATTAGGTCTTTATTTCAAGTGTTTCACATTCAGTCCAGCACCTACCGCTGTTTCCACAACTTAGTGTTAAAAACACCGCTGCAGCTCTACAGAAATGTCTTTTGTGGCTGTGTATATACGAGAACGACATTTCCTGTGCTGTGTCGTCTGAAACCTTCTGACAGATGCTTGGTGGAAAATGTCTGTTTTTTCGTCATTTGAATCATAAGAATACAAACCTCTCCATCTGCTCAGCTGCTTCTGATGGGATGAGAGTGGGCAGGACTTTTATACATGACAGCAAAGCAGTCTGGCACCTTGACTTTTAAAATCAGAGTAAGATTTGCAAAGGCTGCCGATCTTGTATTTATTTTTTTTACTTTTAATTTTAAATATTCGTTATGGTTCATGTGCTGGTTTTCTTTAAAAAAAAAAAAAAGGTCATGTGAAAATACCCAATCAGAAAGCCAGAAAGTATGGCTGTGTCATCATTTATGGACTAAAATACAATCTGAAAGGTTTCAAACTGAAGACTGAGTCAGAAGTGTTTACAGCACTTTTAGAGGTTTATGTCTTACGAGTGCAGGCAAGCAGAAATGACACACTGGTGCAGTGTCTGCAGTGATGTGGACGGTGACGCTGTCCATTTAGTGGACAATTTAGATTCCTACTCTCACCTGTGGCCACAAACACTTTAAACGAGTAGACTTTAAACGATCACAGACGCAGAAACACTGGGGAAGTGGCAACCGGTCCATAAAGATCAAGAACCTCACCTGGTTGTGCCAAAAGGCACAAGCTCAAGGAGCCACAACAGGACTTCTTGAGCTGTGGTAAGTTAGTGAAAAGATGAGATATTGGCTACAGGCTGCAGAAAGGTCAGAGAATGGAAATCACTCCGGAGGACTTCAGAGTAGAGCTGCATCCAAACAAACCAGCTGAGGTGGTTCAGTATCGGAGCGGTACACCTGCCAGGTGAGGTGTTTTGGGAATGCTCAACTGAAAGGAGCCCCCGGGGCAGAGCCAGGACATGCTGGAGCGATGTCTGGTGGCCATGAAGACGACAAGCTGGACTTGACTGATTAGACTAATGACACAGTGAAGGCAGTGCAGACGAATATTTGACCTGCTAGTGTCACGAATAAGCTTTGAATGCCTTTTAAAAGTAGCACCGTGGAAGCTAATGGTAGAATTATAATTGTAATAATGTGACACTAAACGCTGATATTAAAAGATTTTATTGGGAGGGTGGAATAATTAAATCAAAACAACAGGAGCAGAAACTATTTGCTGAATTACGGGACATAAACTCTGTGATGGACTTTTCCTTGTACCAGCGTTTCAATGTATCTGCCTAAACATTTTGCACATCTGCTCTAGATTATGGATTTTTAATTAAATGGCTGAGAATTATTCAGAATAGATTACAAAATAACTTCATTAATCCAAAGAACTGATTAACTTTGCGTCAGATACCAAACAGAACTGAGTGTTTTCACAGCTCACGATTAAACTCGAGTGTAATTCACATGCAGGCTGGTTATACTTTTGTTGCCATGATGCCAGGTCTCTCTTGGAAATGAGATTTTTTACCTGGATAAATAAAGGATTAATAATAAATTATGGTGAACATGTACCCACTCCCACCTGTGTAAAGTGCTCTAGATAACAACCTCCACTGAATGTTGGATGTGATGCCAAATAGGCAAGCGCTCATTGAAGGTCTGAATCTCACAGACCTATAAATGACTCTGTCCGAGCAGAAGTCGCAGCGCTGCTTCTCCGGGTTTGCCAGCTTCACGGTGACAATCGCAGCGTCGGGCGTCTGGAACCAGCGGATCAGAGGGTGGAAACTGAAACAACCAGGAGATGCACGTTAGGACGAAAATCAAAGCTCTGGACACTCAACACCTTTAGGTACTGATGCTGCTGTGGGGAGTTCTTCCAGCTTTTACCTTTGTGATGCATCATCAGAGCCTGTGCTGATGACCTGCTGCCTACTGCTTTGACCAGCACCTTCCTGCACACCTGTATACACGTGCCCCCACACACACACACACACACTTAACTACACGCTGAGTAGCCAAAAGATTATTTAAAAAGAAAAGAACTTTTTGCATTTACGTAATTTTTTATGGGGCGTGGCCTCTGAGTGACAGGTGGATGGCAACATGAGCCGCTCTAGCTGCTAGCTTGCTGCCCGGCTTCACCTGAACTGGACCTCTGGACCGTGTTTGTGCTGTTGGAGTTTTGTAATGCAATTATCTGACCAATAATATGGCTGCTGTGAGGTTACTGTACTAACAGACCTGTATTTAAAATTTAGGATGGATTTCATATATTATTTTCGCGTCTCTTATGGGCAAAGGTAACAGCCACGCCCATCTAAAACCTGGAAAAGCTCTGATGTCTTTGTTGTTACTGAAGTTTGGACTGAATAAGCTTTTTACCTTCTTCATGCAGGTTCAGAGCAGCAGTGTAGCTGGTTGATGGGAAAACGTCTCCAGCTCTGGTGCTGCGTGTAGGAGAATGATAAAGATCAAGTCAGACACAACATCTGAAGGATAATAAGGAAAGCATTGAGTAATAAAGAAAACTGGAAGACCTCGTCCATGGATGGAATTTACAGTGAGGTTTGTGCTCTGAGACTATTTCTGTTGTTTTGTGAGAGTTTAATGCGTTTTCATCTACACGTGTAAGCTGCTCTCAGGCGCTTTGTGTAAAACAGAGCCTGATGACAGCTTTCTTTGCACAGAGCTTGGATTGCATGTTCTTTTCTTACTTATCCAAATGTTTTTTTAACCGAGACAACAAGCATATCCTACTGCAAATAAACTACCTGCGTTCATTAGGTCTTTATTTCAAGTGTTTCACATTCAGTCCAGCACCTACCGCTGTTTCCACAACTTAGTGTTAAAAACACCGCTGCAGCTCTACAGAAATGTCTTTTTTGGCTGTGTATATACGAGAACGACATTTCCTGTGCTGTGTCGTCTGAAACCTTCTGACAGATGCTTGGTGGAAAATGTCTGTTTTTTCGTCCTTTGAATCATAAGAATACAAACCTCTCCATCTGCTCAGCTGGCTTCTTATCAGTGCTTCTTTGTCCAAAACCACCCTCACTCTCTGACTGGGAGTTCTGATCACACACTGGGACCAGGTGGTCTGTAGGTGCTGGGACCAGGGACTGGTTTCCTGACCTCATTGGCTCTAGTGGAGAAAGGTCTGGAGCCTTGAGGTTGTTGGCCAGAACTTCTTCCTCAGCTGTAATCCTGACATCCTTCAGAGATGTAATATTATCTCCAAGCCTGAAAAAATCCACAAACACCTGCTACTTTAGTCTTCTTTTAAGAAAATTGGCTGATCAGACCTCGAGTGAATACTTTGGTTGGTTGTCCCTTCACCTGGACATGTGACCTTCATCCTTGCTGCTGCTGTTCTCCTCACACAGCGCCCTCAGCAGGTCCACATGCTCCGGGTTCCTGATTCCCATCCGGGTCTTCAGGATCTCCGCCTGGACGTTGTATTCATTGATGACAGTTTTCATTCCTGGAATCTGGGTGACCCGAACCTTCAAGGAAGAAAACAAAAAGGGAATCCCGACACAACTGGCGGTGCTAAAAACCAGTCCAGCTCAGGTAGGACACACTTGAAAACTGAGACTTTTTAAGCTTTGTAAACCGTAAATATCAACAGCTTTGTACAGATGGCTGTATGGAGAGATGATTTAAAATGTAAAACATCACCATTGGATCAACAAAAACTGTGTTTCCCAGGCTGAGAACTACTGTAGCTCGATGCTGAAGTCCGCGGATCTTCTGGCTGATGGCTCTGGTAACCTGCAGGCGCAAAACAAATAGAAAATTAAACACTCTTTTTCCCTCGTCCCGTTCTTAAGATGGAAAGAGAACCTCTGGTGAAGAATGTCTATCTACCAGAAGTAAAGTCAGAGAATGCATGAATTATTGCCTCCAGATCTCAGAGGAACATTTAGCAGTTTAGCTGCTTGTTTTGGTCAAGGCTGCCATCTCCCTTATTTCTGTTTGTTCTTTGTAAAAAACAATATTTTCATTATTAAACATCTGGTTGACCTTAAACAGCATGGTGGCATCTTAAATCATGCACATAGACTGTAAAACGTTTGGGGGCTCATCCAGGATATGAAGCTCTTGTGCCCAAAGCAAGATTCACGGCTGCCAGTAGCTCCCAGATCAACTTATAATGAATAAACAGAAATGCAACAGCAGCAGAAAGATAACGCCAGTGCTGATGAATGACTGCCTACTCTGCAACCAATCAGCTCTAAGAATAAATCAGAGAGGAGAGCGAGAGAAGTGGTGGAAGCAGCAGAGGAATTAATTGGAATTTAAATCGGAGCTTAATTATAGTTGACACTTTTCGATAGCTTGCTCAGCCCCGTACTTTGTCTCTGATGTAATCCTTTTTAATCCTAACTTAATGAATGATTGTGTTAGATAACAATGCGGCTGTAGCTGTGAGTGTACATGACTTCAAAGTGAGAAAGGGAAACCTTGGGGTGCCAGCTGATCTCAGAATCAATTGGTTTGACCCGGCAGACAACGATCTCTACGGCCTGTCCAGGCAGAGAGTGAAACTGCTCCGGCAGCTCGAGGATCTGATAGGATTTCACCTCCTCCTCCTTTCCCATGTCAATGAAGCAAGCAACTACGCTGAAAAACAGCCGGCCGCCTCTGTCGGGCACAGAGAGGAGCTTCACCCTGATAGAAAACAGACAGGAGTCGACTTACAGTGATGAACTCGCAGTCCCAGAGTGTGAGGCTGAAATCATCGCCACCCAACGGTGGTGTTTAGATTTGATTTGTCAGACCTGTGGAAGACATCGTCCTCCTGCACAGCGTACAGTCCTCCTTCCAGCAGCTTCTTGGCTCCAAGCTTCTTCTCTGCGTAGTACGAAGCCATCTCAGAGGCCATTTTCTCAAAGCCCCCGTCCTCCTCCTCGACGATACGGCCGTAGAAGACTGACGCTGTCTTTATGTAGAGCGGTACAACCTCGGATACACAGAGTCACATCCACTGTTTGTGTTGTTTTAAGTACAATCAGTGATCGTTAAACAAATATCAGGGTTTCATCCAAGAACTCCACTACTGAGCCAATGTAATATCCTGACAGCTGCACCATGATTCACAACATCACTCTGAGAACAGAAGCATCATCCTCACTTCTATGTCTCCAGATGCCGGCAGTTTGGACTGATCCAGCTGTGAGACGAAGCGGTGGCGTTCAGGACAAATGCCATTGTTTCTGCAGGGGAAAGCACACAGAATAACATACAAGTCATTTTCTCTTTACTGTCTGAAACTCATGATGTTATAGACAACGCAAGCAACAATATGGCTAATTAAAAAAAAAGGGTAGGTAAAAATCTGATTGGCAAAAGAACCCAGCATGAGAAAGATGGCTGCCAGTAAGTCATCCATGTGACAGACAAACTTATCTGCAGACTAAAGAATAAGGCCCGGACCAGTGAACAAGACTGAAACCACAGAGTCGTGTATAATCTGGAGACCTGCACACGCCAAAACTCTTCAGGTATCTGCAGAGGGGGCGGTCTGTTTTCTGGTCCTCGCGTGCCATTTGTACCCCCTGTGCGAAGGTCAGCAGCTCGGGGGGCAGCAGGGCATTTGCCCTTTCCAGGTAGCGCAGAATCCCAATGACGTGGCGGGCGTTCCTTTCTGAGATCAGCAGCACCGACCTGGTGACGGCTGAGCTGCTCCTCGTTTGATCCTGAGGAGAAAAATTAAAAAGTCATCCAGGACCTCAAACATTGACGGTTAACATCTGCTTACGTTTCTTAATACTGAGCACTTTATTAAGAACACCAAAATACATATGGCCTCCCTTTGCTCTGAAAGCCATATTTTCCACACAGCTCCACTGTCAGCCCCAGAGAATGGTAGGGTGGTGTTCAGGGTCTTAATCTCCTGAACTCTGCTGCACCAGCTTGTTTCATTTACAGTCTGATCACTTTGGAATATGAGTATTTTGGAGGCCTTGCTGACGGCTGGGCTCATTGTCAAGCTCCTCTTGAGGTTCTTTAGGTTTTGCAGAGACGAGATGATCACTAAACTTTTAATTCTGGGTCAGATCAGAGCACAGCGGCAGAAGAAATATAGACAACCACAGTTTTTCTGTTTGGATGTTTGTGTGAGCATACACTTGTTCTGTAGCTGCAGGACCCTGTGTTACCTGAATAAGCAGGTGTACAGGTGTTCCTAATAAAGTGCATCCGCCACTCGTTCTTACTCGTTTTGAGAAGTTCCTGAAGTTTTCAGCCATGCAGAAGAGTCGGCTGCCAAAGAGCTTAGGAGAGGAGGGGAAACTGTAATGGACGATGCAGGTCGCATCTCTGATATCCAGACCCTTGAGACAATCGTCGGTGGTTACTAGAGGTCAAAGGTCAAACAAGAAAAAGAAATGACAACTGCACGGCTCACGTTCAGGTTCATGTAATCAGGTTAACGGTCACCATCAAAACAAATTGAGAACTATTTTCAGTTACCGAGAACAACGTGAGTGCCGGGGCCGATGTCCTTCTTCCACTGCTCGAGCACAAAGTCCATGTCGTGAGTTAACCCCTCGTGGATCTTGAGGCAGAAAACTGACCTGGTGCTCACAGCCTGACGGAAGAAAAGGTCAGGAGGGCAGATTTAAATTAAAATTATTACTTTTAGTTTAATCAATTGCACACAGTTGAGTGCCACAGAGAACTGGAGCTGTTTTTAAAAGGTGAAGATTATAAAACATCAGTGTGTGTGAGTGAAGCAGGTTTATGTGTCTAGTGTTTTGTTTGTAGAGTATATTATTGTATTACTACGGGGCGACCGTGGTTCAGGGGGTTGGGAAGCTCATCTGTAACCGGACGGTCGCCGGTTCGATCCCCTGTCTCTGTCCTGGTCGTTGTGTCCTTGGGCAAGACACTTTATCCTACCGCCTACTGGTGTTGGCCAGAGGGGCCGATGGCGCGATATGGCGGCCTCGTCAGTCTGCCCCAGGGCAGCTGTGGCTACAACCGTAGCTGCCTCCACCAGTGTGTGAATGTGAGAGTGAATGAATAGTGGCATTGTAAAGCGCTTTGGGTGCCTTGAAAAGTGCTATATAAATCCAATCCATTATTATTATTGAAGCAGTAAGGATTGACTTGTTATTTTACGGCACTGGATATCTGTGTTTCACTGCATACATTTATATGAGATCATTGTGTTTGAGAGACAGGATGAAGTCGATATCTTCCTGTCCTGACTTTATGACAAAATATATACTTGGATGTAAAAAGCAGCCCGAGTGTCACCTTGAACACATCTTCGACCTCCTGAAAGGAGTTTGCTACGATCAGCGTCTTCTGGCCGACGTCGGGGCTGAAGCCAAGCGTTCCCAACAGGACTGAGATCTTACTGATATCCAGAGTCATGAGGATGACCTGCAGGGGGAACAAAACACAAGCCAGTAGAGACTTCCGCTTAATGTACTGTGCGATTATTTCAGTTGCGTTATTCAGCTCCTGATCAAACTGTATGACTGAATCGTAGGTAGAGCTGGGCCATATCATACTGTTCACGGTAATACCGGTACAATGCTAGACAACGATAAGAAAATGAAATCTCGCGATATAATATGGGTAAAACGCGCAACGCATAAAACGTGCCTTTGTTTTCATACACACATGGCAGAAAAAGCATGGCGGTAACGGAGAATGAGAAAGGCGGATCGTTGAGTGAAACAGATGAACCAGAACTGGTTTGTAAAAATGGTGCCACTTCAGTGATGTGAAACTGGTTTGGTGTTTGTCCGTCAGATACACAACAAAGCACTTTTTTTTTGTAGAACATGCAAGCGGCCGTTATTGCCGTATCTGTCGGACTGAGGTGCTCATAAATCTGCGAGTAATCTGGGTCCTAAACTCTGTCCACTTCAGGTCCCAAAGTCAAACGAACACTGCAGTATCACTAAGAGTTAAAAACTGTCTAAATTCTTTCATCTTTAATAAAATGATCAGCGTTGCTGCTCTACCAGGTGTAACTATGAAGTTTAACATCCAGGCATCCATGAAAACAGAATTTATTACATTTAACGGAGTTAGAAGTTAGCAGGAAGTTAGCTCGCTAGCTTCCACCTAAAGATGATGTAGCATGTTCTGACTGAGAGATTTCTGAAATAAATTCAAACGTACAGCTCTGCTATCACTTCCAACATGAATGAAGACGGAAAACTAAACAGCAGTGACGTTTGTAGGGTTACTGAAGTTGGGCTAGCTGGTATATAATGATGTGCTACGTGACCGCTAGCGACACAGCTATGTTAGCATAATATAAACAAGCTAACTTTTTTCCACTCGATAAAAGTTACCGTGAGGGTTCCTGATAGTCAGGGACAAATGCAATCGCATGGCAGGATGCTGTGAACGGATCAAACTTCAGTCAGGAGAACAACTGAGATAATCCATCCACAACACGAGGTTAGTCATTAATATACTGCAACAACATGGGAATAGAGCCGCTGTGATAGAATACAGCATTAATGAATCAATGGTACAGAAGTGGAGGAAGCAAGAAGAATGAGTTGAATAAAGTTTGATTTATCTGACTGCTTTGTTTTGCTTAATGTGTCTTATATTCCCGTGCACCTTATGGTCCGAAAAATCCGTATTTGACTTTTTTTATTTGGCACACTGCAGTTTAATGCTGCAAAGCACCTCTTTTTAACTTCAGTGGATATTATACATGGTTATGCTCAGGATATGTCAGCCCATTTCTACTGGAAATGTTTTTTGGTTAAACTTTCAGCAGGGATTTTGCATTTTCACTGTTAAATGTTTATATAGCTTTAATGCACATAAAAACAGCTGCTTGTTTAAGTGAAATTTTTTTTTTGCGCTAGTAAAGTTGTGCAGTTGTATTTTGTCTCACATCAGTTACAGGGAGTGCAGAATTATTAGGCAAATGAGTATTTTGTCCACATCATCCTCTTCATGCATGTTGTCTTACTCCAAGCTGTATAGGCTCGAAAGCCTACTACCAATTAAGCATATTAGGTGATGTGCATCTCTGTAATGAGAAGGGGTGTGGTCTAATGACATCAACACCCTATATCAGGTGTGCATAATTATTAGGCAACGTCCTTTCCTTTGGCAAAATGGGTCAAAAGAAGGACTTGACAGGCTCAGAAAAGTCAAAAATAGTGAGATATCTTGCAGAGGGATGCAGCAGTCTCAAAATTGCAAAGCTTCTGAAGAGTGATCATCGAACAATCAAGCGTTTCATTCAAAATAGTCAACAGGGTCGCAAGAAGCGTGTGGAAAAACCAAGGCGCCAAATAACTGCCCATGAACTGAGAAAAGTCAAGCGTGCAGCTGCCAAGTTGCCACTTGCCACCAGTTTGGCCATATTTCAGAGCTGCAACATCACTGGAGTGCCCAAAAGCACAAGGTGTGCAATACTCAGAGACATGGCCAAGGTAAGAAAGGCTGAAAGACGACCACCACTGAACAAGACACACAAGCTGAAACGTCAAGACTGGGCCAAGAAACATCTCAAGACTGGTTTTTCTAAGGTTTTATGGACTGATGAAATGAGAGTGAGTCTTGATGGGCCAGATGGATGGGCCCGTGGCTGGATTGGTAAAGGGCAGAGAGCTCCAGTCCCACTCAGACGCCAGCAAGGTGGAGGTGGAGTACTGGTTTGGGCTGGTATCATCAAAGATGAGCTTGTGGGGCCTTTTCGGGTTGAGGATGGAGTCAAGCTCAACTCCCAGTCCTACTGCCAGTTTCTGGAAGACACCTTCTTCAAGCAGTGGTACAGGAAGAAGTCTGCATCCTTCAAGAACAACATGATTTTCATGCAGGACAATGCTCCATCACACGCGTCCAAGTACTCCACAGCGTGGCTGCAAGAAAGGGTATAAAAGAAGAAAAACTAATGACATGGCCTCCTTGTTCACCTGATCTGAACCCCATTGAGAACCTGTGGTCCATCATCAAATGTGAGATTTAAAGGAGGGAAAACAGTACACCTCTCTGAACAGTGTCTGGGAGGCTGTGGTTGCTGCTGCACGCAATGTTGATGGTGAACAGATCAGAACACTGACAGGATCCATGGATGCCAGGCTTTTGAGTGTCCTTGCAAAGAAAGGTGGCTATATTGGTCGCTGATTTGTTTTGTTTTTGAATGTCAGAAATGTATATTTGTGAATGTGGAGATGTTATATTGGTTTCACTGGTAAAAAGAAATAATTGAAATGGGTATATATTTGTTTTTTGTTAAGTTGCCTAATAATTATGCACAGTAATAGTCACCTGCACACACAGATATCCCCCTAAAATAGCTCAAACTAAAAACAAACTAAAAACTACTTCCAAAAACATTCAGCTTTGATATTAATGAGTGTTTTGGGTTCATTGAGAACATGGTTGTTGTTCAATAATAAAATTATTCCTCAAAAATACAACTTGCCTAATAATTCTGCACTCCCTGTATATCATTATCGCAAATTTTCAAATATATATCGTGATAAATATTTTTGGCCATATCGCCCTGCTCTACTCGCAGGGGTTAGAAGTTCGTAGGTCACGATGCATGTTCTCGCACTATACGGCTCGATGTGACCCGAGTGCTCACACTGTGTCCAGATTTTAGCTTGGTAACATGAAGTGTTACCAAAACTTACATTATATGGCTAATATACAACACAAAATCAACAATACAACACACACCCACACACGATCCAACTCTTTTCACGGTTATTGTGGTCGTGATAATTTTGTCAGGCCACATCGAAAAGGCTCGGACGAGCTTGCCAAAGTTCTACAAGTTGTGGCTCCATCGCTTGTGTCCAGATCACACGCTGCACTGTGGCGTCGCTTCGTCTTTTTCACTGACATTTCTGTGTTTGCGCATCTACAGTATCAGAGGTTGCGCTAAATCGGCTTGTGACGCTGCTAAAAATGGTAATTGGCCTGTATTTCTATAGCGCTTTTACTAGCCCCCCCTAGGGACCCCAAAGCGCTTTACACACCCAGTCATCCACCCATTCACACACTGGTGGAGGCAGCTACAGTTGTAGCCACAGCTGCCCTGGGGCAGACTGTGTGATAGCCTCACGAGGGGTGACCAGGATTTTAAACAGGTTTGATGTTCTTGTAACCATACTATTGCTTATCAGGAGCTGGTCTTATTACCCCGTCTATACTACACGATGCACGACACGTGATTAAGGCGAAACTCGGGCCGATCCCTAAAACGGTAACACAACTAAAAAATCCAAAAATCACACAGTGTGTGCCCAGCTTCACACTGCACCCAGCTCCTTCCCCTTTACTCTTATTTTATGCAGATACTTAAAAAAAGGTAACTGAGACCACTGTTTAACCCTAATTTGAACAGGAAAGTTTTTACTGACCTGCTGAACGTTACCATAGAGAGCGGCTTCCTCAGGAACGCTTATGACGATGCTGGGGCATGGCATGTAAGTGGATAACAAACCCTCCATGTGATTTGTCCATCTTTTGGCTACAACAATCAGCTGTGGAGGACAGGAATCACTTTCCTTGTCAGAGGTGACCTGGAAGTGCTGCAAGATGGTCGTCATCTGACAGAAGAAACAAAAATATTTCAGGCTTGGTAAAATCCAACCATCAAACTCTTTGTAACTACAAACACCGTCTAACTACAAAATAGCAGTTTACTCTCTTAAAAATATTATCAATGGTAAAAAATACTTTTTTTTGGTTTAATGTAGCTAAAGAACACCAGGCCTGAAAATCTGTTGTTTCCAGTTTCAAAAGCCACTTTTGTGTCATGCTGTGTTGTACTTTCTACATTTGTGTTGCCACCTGTGTGACTGGCCGTGCAGACATGTTGCACCTGCTCTTGTTAACCTCAGCTCAAGCTGAGCTGTCCCTCTGATTTCTAATCCTGTCCGTTCTGCTCATTCCCATCAATAATGACCACTTCCCGTCACTACAAAATACGACTTCACAAATAAAACAGAAGATCATATTTTTCCTTGAAACAAACACAGCTATCAGAGAATAACATTGATGTAACTGCAGCACATTCTAGTTTCAATATTAATTTCACCAGATGGATCGCAGAAGAGTTTCTCTGCTAACTGTCACGTAAAATAGCACTAGATGTAGTATTTTACAGAAACTGCATCAACCTGCACAGAGCAGGTGAGCTGGGCAGGAAGGGCCTGGAGAATCTAGCCTATTTTCAAAATAAAAGACTCTTATTCTGAAACACTCTCTGTTCGAAGGACACACAAACCTGAATCTTTGACAGAGATTCTGTTCATAGCTGTCATGGATAGAACATCCAGGGGTAGCCAGGGGGTGGAAAGCTTCTGCTTCAGGATCTCACTTCTGGGTTTTACAGATAGCATGGTTCTGTTGGCTTCATCAGCAGGTAGCCTCAGGCTCACACTGGAGCAGTTCACAGCTGCGTGTGAATTAGCACCTCAAAGTCTGAGGCCGGAGCAGGACCATGGCCTCCGGGTCACAGACTAATTATATGCTTTAAGTCTCTTGGGGTTTTGTTCAGGAGTGAGGCAAGAGTGGAGCAGAAGAATCATTAGTGATGTAATCATTGGTTATTTTCCAACCCTCGCTTATGGTCACAAGCTCTCGGAGACGGTGGATACAAGCAGTGGAAATGAGGTCCTTTTAAGAGTGGCAGGATGAGGAGTTCAATGATTCCACATCAAAAGGAGCCAGCTGAGGGGGCTACAGAGCCTCTCCAGGATGTCCTGGGAACACTGAGTGAGCTGGAGGCTGGAGACCTGGGCTTCTCTGCCGAGGCTTCTGCCCCCACAATCAGTCTGCACGTCCTCTGTACCCCTGCACATTGTACTCTGCTTATCTTTTGGATTCAGGTTTGTAAGCTTTGCATTTTCTGGAAATAATTCTCTCTAACCCCTCTGATAAGTTTTATTACAGGTTACTATTTGAATTGATCCTATCTGATGCCCGTCAATGAAAACAGAACTAAAAACTGACGCGATGTGTGCACATTTACAGTTGTACATCATAAGTCATCACCTCATCTGGAGCCAGACTGAAGAGCTGGTCAGCTTCGTCCAGCACCAGGTGGCACAGCCGCAGGAAGAGGAAGCAGTGGCAGGACAGCAGACGGACCAGACTGAAAGGAGTGGTCACCAACAGCAGGCCTGGAATTAATCAGATTAGAAGATTCTGAATAGTTACTGATGTAAATCAATCATTTATCGACCACCTAGCAGACTGCGATGATGCTCGTTATGCTTAACTCACAGTTTTTGGGGATCTTGACACTCTTAGCCTCGTCCTTGTTGATGCCCAGCAGCACAGTTGTGGGGTAGAGCTTTTGGGAGACCTTACTCACCCCCAGGAGGTCATATACAGCTTGGACCTTCTCCCAACCGGGACACAGCAGCACAGCTATGGGCTACAAACATACGAATTGATAGTGACAAAAGCAGAATTCATCCATGCTTCCTGCCTCCTGTGTGTGCACTCACCCCTGAGCTGGAGGTGTGGGAAGTGAAGATGGAGTTCAGCATGATGTGGGTAAGGAGTGGGGTAAGGTAGCTGAGCGGCTGGTCTGCGCTGCTGGAGATAACAAGGGTATGGTATCCTCGAGCCACAGCTGGCCAGCTGTAACAGTCAGCTGGAGACAAGGTGCTGTACTGCTTCCGCTGCACCTGGAGACAAACGGTCACTGTGAGAGGAAACCACCAAAAAACCGCACTTCCTCTAATGCCCACTAGATGCTGTCTCAGTACTACGACTCAAAAAACACAGATGCTTCGTGAGCCGTGGTGTCTACGTCCACCTTTTCTACTGACTGTTTGAAACTCAGATGGAGGTTAAAGAGCGGCGAGGGACTGACACAAGAGAAGACTGAGCAGTCACATGAGAGCGCGGATGAAACGGATAGTTATCAAATAAGATCAGTAATACAGAAAGGGTTTTATTGCCAAATGTTGCACAGGTTTACAACATTAGGAAAACATACTGTAAGACAACACTTAAATAAAAATTAAAAGTGCTAAGTATATATATATGGTTCATGAGTCCAACAGCAGAGGGGAAGAAACTGTTCTCATGGCGAGAGGTTCTGGTGCGGATGGACCGGAGCCTCCTGCCTGAGGGGAGCAGATTAAACAGACTGTGTCCAGGGTGAGAAGGGTCAGCTGAGATCCGAGCTGCACGCCCCAGTGTCTTGGAGGCGTACAGGTCCTGCAGTCAATCATCTTCTCAGCAGAGCGCACAACACGCTGCAGTCTGTTTGTCCCTGATAGTGGCTCCAACGTACCACATGGTGATGGAGGAGGTGAAGATGGATTTGATGACTGCAGTGTAGAATTGCATCATCGTCCGTGTTGGCAGGTTGAGTTTCTTCAGCTGCCTCAGGAAGTACATCCTCTGCTGGGCTTTCAGCAGAGGATGAGTAATTAGCGGAGTAGTTACTTCCTAGCGGCTCTTTTTTATGGCTATAATTTAACTACTTCAGCTGTAGACACTGAAGGATTACAGTCTGTTGAGACCAAAGGCATGAGTGCGGATTCCTGTCCCTCTAATAACCTTTAGGTAAGCTGACATACACATAAACATCTACTTCCGTCCAGAGTTGCAGTAATTTTTCACCAAGAACTTGAATTGATGATTCAAGAGTCGAACTGTGTGAAGTCTTCCTGGGGCTTCGGTCTGACCTCTGTGGTGTTGGATGCATTTTTTGGACTTCCAGAACCATCTTCCACAGTTTGTATGAATGCTGGAAGCACCACCCCAGTTAAACCTGGACTCATGAGACCATCCAACCACCAAGTGCTTTTGTTACTATAACACAGCAGTTTAGTCTCAGTCCCAAGTCCTCTTCGCGTTGTACACATTTCACCAACATTTGTTATGTCAGATCACGATGATGACCACGTTTCTTCGTCAAAGATGATGGTTCACCTCTGTCCTCCCAGGTTTTAATATGCTGGACTCTTTTTTTTTAACCCAGTTTCTGTACTTTCAGTTTCTCCCACATTATTTCTTTGCTTGATGAAGGACAATAATTTGATCCCAATTCGAGTAAAAGCTTCTCTTCTCCAGGACCATGTCTTCAAACACGGTAGGTTAAGAAATGAGAAGCTACTTACTGCTTCAGGGTTAAATAACCTGTTGCCAGTTGAAACCTACGAATCACTCTTACCTGTTTGCTTAGTTAAATCCAGGCGCTGATTTTTTTCGGCCAGGCTCTGATGCCTCGAGTCTCAGCATCGCTACGCTCACTGTCTGATCGCTCGGTCCTCATGGACAGCGACAGCGCCTCGTTGCGTTTTAAAATTATGGCGACAGCAGCACTCCCGTGTCCTATAAGGGAAGCTGATGCTCAAGTGCCTTAAACCTGCACTCGTGATCTTATGGTCTCACATGATAGTTTAAAATCTTACTGAATTTAAAATGTCCTTTATGTCAATCAGAGTCAAGTGTAAGCACACACTCGTCCTCAGATTCAACTTCAAATCAACCCCATGCTCAACGCTTTCATTGAAAAAACAATAAAAAAGTGCGGCAGTGTGTCCATCTTTTAAATACTCTAGATGAAGGAAATAATCAGTAAATTAACAACAACTTTATTTGTATTTCTGAACCATTTCTGAGAACATTTCAAATTTGAAATTGAATCTGATGCTGTGTTGTTAATAACGAAACCACTTTCACAACATTTACAATTACACCTGAATGTTCAGGTCACTAAACTCTCGTTTCCTAGCATGTTAAAGATCCTGATGACAAACTCAGGGCGTATTCTTGTTTACCCAGCAGAGGGTGTCTGCGATGGCGGGGTCATTCACACTGATCCACGGCTCTGCTGGGGAGGTAGCGTGCACCAGAATCCCACTCCGGCAGGGGTCGAGGGGAGAAACCTGAGACATCCAGGTGAAAGGACAAAGGAGGCTTTAAATAACATCATGAGCAGTGTTTGCATGAGTAACAACCAATAAATCTACAGGCTTTCATTTTCATATTTTCTAAGAGGTAAAATAATTATTTTTTAAATTTTATTTGCACTCTAACTAAATCAGAGTTGTCTGCGTAAACGTACCACAGCGTCTTGGGCGTCGGGATCGGGGTTCAGAGCCTGTGGATTCAACAACTCCAACAGGCTGCATCACAGACAGAACATGAAGAAACTACTTCAGTCGAACAGTCTGGACACAAATTACTGCCTGACATAGTACTACACTACACAGCCACTTCATTAGGTACATCTTGGTAGTGGCAGGTTGGAGCTGCTTTTGTCTTTAGAGCCGATTTCATTTTACATGGCTCAGATTCAACAAGCTTCTGCAAACACTCCTCAGAGATTTTGGTCCATGTTAACAGGACATCATCACACAGCTGTTGCGTGCTTCACCACGTCTCAAAGATGCTCTTTTGGAGTGAGATTTGGTGAATGTGGAGGCCGCTGAGATGATGCTGAGAGGATGCTACGCTGTGGTCATAAAGGGATGGACACGGTCAGCAACAACACTCGGCGTGGAGTTACAGGCAGGATGGATCCATGCTGTTATGTTGTTCATGCCAAACTTTGACCCTGAACCATTGCAGCAGATATAAAGATTCATCAGGTCGTACAGTGTTTTTCTATCTTTTATTGTCCACTTTTGGCGAGTCTGTGTAAACAGAAGCCTCAGTTTCTGCTGTGTAGCTCTTCTGCTTCAAGACAGAGATGCTCTTCTGCACACCTTGGTTGACTTGCTATTGGCCTTCCTATCAACTCGAAGCCGTTCTGCCCTTCTCTGACCTTAAACAAGGCATTTTCTCCCCAGAGAACTGCTGCTCACTAATCAGCCAATCACACGGGGCCTGATATTTGTTAACAAGCAGTTAGATACAGGTGTGTCTAATACAGTGGCCGGTGAGTGGATTTTACAAGCAAACTCAAAGAAATGATTAACACACCTTTTATCCAAGCCAGTAATTGTATTTTCATCATCAGGTGCAGTTAACACAATTTAAAAAATAAATAAAATTGAATTAAATGAAAAACATTTCATGTCTTTACTCAGTGTTTATGTCTTATGGGGATCGAGGAAAGCTCAAAGACAGGAGCAGTATGGTTAAAACACAGTGTGCAGGAGCTTCTATCCTGTAACGTGTTTCTATCAGGTTGACCTGTGTCGTTGCTTCCTGAGAGAGAAAAACTGCAGCTCACCGTGCACAGGCCCAGTCCTTCTCACTGCGCTGGGTCTCCTCTGCTGGAGCCGAGGCGACAGATGTGCTGGAGCTGCTGATTAAAAGAGAAAATCAGAAACACGTTTAAAGTGAAGACAAAGATGCTGAATGTGGAGAAAGCACACATTATTATTAATATTAATTAATCTCATCAGATTTTCCCGGGAATGTGGAACAGTCTACTGGAATTCTGTTTAGGTATAAAAGGATAAAGATGGAAGAACTACACAGAGAAGGAGCTGCACACATGCCCGACATCACAGAAACACTAATTTTTACTCTGGTAGAATCTAAGAATATATTACGGGTGCAAAGATTCACGGTTCGATATTTTTTTCGATACAAATAAATGTTCATGCCTTTTTAATTTGTTATTTATTAAAGTTATAAAAGTACAGTTTTTAAATTTAATGTTGCTGAAACAAAAGTAATAAAAAAAATTAATCTGATTGAGGAATCACTCATCTTTGAAAAAGAGAGTTTATTACAGAGAAATGGCTCTTTCCAAAATAAAAGCTATACTATAGCTTCTTCTGGGCTATATTCTCAGCAGCATATTAAACATATCAGGTCCCTATAAGGAGAATCCTGTACTAACGGCTGTCTAAATGACTCGGGTAAAGTTTGTAGCATGCGTGCTTGTTGTTTTTGTCTGCTTCCACTTGTCTTTGCACTAGGATGCTGTCGGAGTAAATGTGCAGTCATATTCGTTGTGTTCCCACTAGTGCTGTCAGCGTTAATCTGAAATGACGTTAACGCCACAACACGGCAAATCTCCGTTAACGAGTTACCGCGGATCGCCCCGTGCGTGGGGCTGGACGGCCAACACGTCGACAGTGCAGCCTAGGCAGAGTAGTCGAACGCAGATCCACTGAGCGCTCAACACAGACAGCATCGTCAGAAGGAAAGTTGATCAAATAAATTACAAATGTTGTATTGTTCGATACATATGCGTACCGAACCCAAAGCACTGTATCGAACGGTTCAATATCGATACGAGTATCGTTGCACCCCTAATATATATGTAAAATGCAGGTCCTGTTGTTGCACTCCAACATACCCCTAAGAGTACTTAGTATGACCATTTGGTTTGGTTTTTCCTCATGCAGAGTACTCTACCTTGCCTCTTCATCCACCAAAGATTCAGCCTGACAGCTCTGAAGATTCTCAGCTCCTGGTTTCTCACTGCTGGGACAGACTGCAGTCAGTGAGGGGAACCCAACAAATGAAGCAATCAGCTCAGATAAAGACTACTATCTGGGCTAATTTTTGTCTTTTACCTCATCAGAGGCAACACCTCAGCTTCCTGCAGGGAAAACAAACCAAACAAGATTCTGGATTTTAGTTTCAGAAACATCACAGGATGGAACAGAGTTTAGTCACTAACAGCACCAAGTCTGTCCTGAGTCTGACCTCATAGCAGCCTGTTAAGGAATATATTCTAAAACACTTCTTCAGCAAAGAGAAACACACAGAACTCTTGCTAGCAAGGGCGGCCTCCTGTCTTTATTTTATACTTCAGTGAGTGTGTGTGTGTGTGTGTGTGTGTGTGTGTGTGTGTGTGTGTGTGTGTGTGTGAGTGTGTGTGTGTGTGTGTGTGTGTGTGTGGTCAGAGTGTGACCCCATAAAATCTTCCCTAAACCTGCTGGTCTCAAAGTCCAACAGTTCATCAAACCAAAAGGCACTTAGACTAAAACAAATATAGCTACGTTAATCCTACCATAAAACAATAAAACAAGGTACGACCTCTCCCATGCTCCTAGGATGTGGGGGTGAACACTCTAGAGCAGGGGTGCCCAATCCCGGTCCTCGAGAGCTACCGTCCTGCAGCTTTTAGATGCATCCTTGTTCCCACACACCCGAATCAAATGAATGGCTTGTTATCAGGCCTTTGCCAAACACGAAATGTTCAAATGTTCTTACTATGAGCGGGTGGAAATCCAAATCTCAGTCAGGAGTGGGCGCATCATCTAAAAGCTGCTCTTTTTTCTGTACGAGTGCAGCAAACCTGCAGCACGTCAAGCCGACTGGACATTTACAACAACCAGCTGCTGACTGAGATGCTTCCTCCTGCATGAAGTATCAACTCAAACCTTCAGGAGGATTCATGCCTGCACAACACGTGTACATTAATGAGCGCCCCCTGCTGACACCGCTGGAGTACACGGCGGGCTCAGCTGTTAGAACCTAGTTGGTCCAACCTGCACCTGCAATGTTGGAAAATGCACTCACCTGGGGAGCTGCCAGCTCGGAACTGCTGCCCGGCTTCATAAACTGTAGAAACCTGTGAGGAGGGGGCGACAGCCCATCACACATGATGATATAAAACATCATGTGCCTGCGATCTGAGACTGTGGCCAACTCACCTGAACAGCTGATGGTTTTTTGTGAGGGCTGCAGCCAGAGACGAGTCTGCGTCGTCTGACGAGCTGCTGAAAAGTGAACAGAGGCCACTTGGTTGCTTTTAATCGGAACTCTGCTGAACTGAACAACTGAACGGGCGCTCACCTCTCAGCTGCGTCTGAGCCGCTCCCTGACTGGCTGTTTGGAGACAGCTGTTGTTTTGTGACCACTGACCGATGTTCACCTCCAGCCTTCACCAGCTTGTGTTGTACAATCTAAAGCAGAGACGTGAGAGTTCAGCACATGTGGTTGTTTCATTAGAACACAGATAAAAGTGAGTGAGCTAGCAGGGCTGCATACCTGAGGAAGCAGGGAAGGAGCTGTAAGCCAATCAGCTGCCCCCCCAGCTTCAACCAGACTCTGCTGATCTGGGACACAGAAACAAGCACCGGAACAAATACAGTCATATGAATAAGAAGGTGCACTCTCTTTCATGTTTCAGGCCATCAGCCCGACAAATAAAGCTCGGCAGCAATAAGATGAATGCAAAAGAACAAATCATGGCACTGCAGCGATCCAGAGCTCAGACTGAAAAGCTCATAAGAGCAGAAATGATGGTAGAGAAGTAGCCAATTGTTAAGAGCAGGTGTTGTTAAGCATTAATGCAAACTACCAGGTATTTTATTTCCTTTGTTTCCTGAGGGGCCACCGCAGCAGATGGATCCATGTTTGATTTGTTGCAGACAAATCAAACATGGATGAAACCAACATGTGTTGAGAGCGGTGAGCCAGAGTTCATATATCTGTTTACCGGGAGGCGGTTGGGTTTGTGCTGTCGGCTTGGGGGAGACGCTCTGGGTTAAGATGCTGTAGGACAGCATCACAGGAAGTCGGTCTCCCTCCTCCAGGCCGTCGCCTGATTTTGTGCTGTAGTAGGCAAACCTCTTCGCCACCAAGTCATCATTCACACAGATCTGTTTAAGAAAGGTTAATACAAACGTGATCACATGTCTCCAAACAAGTCTGCGTGCAAAATAAAGGCTTTTTAGTCAAACTTCACCTTGATGTCACCAACAGTCACGTAAAGCTTGATAGGGGTAGAGTCTGACTCAGGTTCAAGCAGCACGGCCTCCTTTAGGGTCGATGCTGTGAGATGAAAGACGAGTCGAGCTCAGAGATGCATCGCACCGAAACATAAAAACTAATGTTAATGGCATTCAAGCAGCAGCAATAACACTCACCTTGCAGCAGCTTGTGCAGGAAGAGCGTGGCAGAGCTGTCCCACCGAGCTGACGGTCTGCAGAAAAACACAATAAATATCTGCAAATGTGCTCCGTTGTAGCCTCCAAACTACGTGAGATGAGCTCGCCTTACTTGAGCTCTGCCTTCTCCTCAAGCAGAGACACTCGCAGGGTTGTTGGTTTGATTCCCGCCAGGTGGAACTTTTGCACCCAGAAAGGCAGCTGAAGGAAGTTTTCCATTGCCACCCGGATCCTTTCAGAGGGGATAGAGTTAAAAACCAAACAGATGCAAAAAAACCCAAAAAAAACAAAACAAACCATATATATATATATATATATATATATATATATATATATATATATATATATATATATATATATATACACATACATATACACACACACACACACACACACAGGTCCATCATCCTATTCATGTAGCCCCTTCCGCCAGGGTTACATGAATAGGATGCAGGTGCAGGCTGTGTAAAGATGCCCCAGAGACAATCCAGCACATAACAGCAGGGTGCAAGATGCTAGCAGGCAAGGCATACATGGAACGCCATAACCAAGTGGCCGGCATAGTGTACAGGAACATCTGTGCCGAGTATAACCTGGAAGTCCCGAGGTCAAAATGGGAGATGCCCCCAAGGGTGGTGGAGAATGACCGAGCTAAGATCCTGTGGGACTTCCAGATACAGACGGACAAAATGGTGGTGGCTAACCAACCGGACATAGTGGTGGTAGACAAACAGAAGCAGACGGCCGTAGTGATCGATGTAGCGGTTCCCAATGACAGCAATATCAGGAAGAAGGAACACGAGAAGCTGGAGAAATACCAAGGGCTCAGAGAAGAGCTCGAGAGGATGTGGAGGGTGAAGGTAACGGTGGTCCCCGTGGTAATCGGAGCACTAGGTGCGGTGACTCCCAAGCTAGGCGAGTGGCTCCAGCAGATCCCGGGAACAACATCGGAGATCTCTGTCCAGAAGAGCGCAGTCCTGGGAACAGCTAAGATACTGCGCAGGACCCTCAAGCTCCCAGGCCTCTGGTAGAGGACCCGAGCTTGAAGGATAAACCGCCCGCAGGGGCGTGCTGGGTGTTTTTTTTTGTTTTGTTTTTTTTCACACACCCCTGACATGAGTCTTCCTCTCATCATTCATATAACATTTGGTAGTAAATGCAGCGCAGCTCTCTGCACCTTCATGTCTAGAATCACGCAGCAGAACCAGTTTTTAAAAAAGTTTTCTTTCCTTTTTTTTTTTTTAAAGCTCCCCACAGATTTAGATTTTCAAAATAAGAGCCTAGGGGAATAAATCAGTAACGGATTATCTAAAAATGGACCTCACTCTCCTCCTATCCCAGCATCCTCCTCTGTCATACCCACCGTCTGCATGTCCTCATAAAACTCCCCTGAAGTCTTCCTATTCTCCTCCGTAACAGATAGGCCTCCTGTATTTTTGTCTCCAAACCCATAAACCAAGACTAACAGAAACTAACAGAAACTAACAGAAAAGGAAGAAAACAGGTGGAGGACCACGTAGCTTAATCTGACACCCCACACTCACTGCAAAGAAGGAAAAAAAGAAAGGAAATAAAGGTTCTCCATAGGATAGTGCCAAGAAATTATAATGTAAGTGACATCCAGAAATGATAGGAGCCATTTTTAAAGAAAGACAAGAACATTTAAGACAAAATAATATGAGATGATGGTTATGGAATATTTTAAAACTGACAGATTGGGTCGGCGGTGCAGACACTGTGCACCGGCTCGTTGTGGTAAAGAGAGAGCTGAGTGTAACAGCAAAGTGTTCAGTGTTCCCCAGATAAGCTGGAGGAGGTCTGCACCACCCTCTCATGCACTAACACAGTCCCTCTCTTGGCACACAAAGGTCGTGTCCAAATTCATGGGCTGCATCCTCCTGAGGACCCAGCCTTCGCGGTCTACGTGGGCCGGGTCCTCAGAGGGTCGGGTAGGCCGGAAGTAAATGGCCGTGAAATTGGACGGTCTAGTCTTCAGATTAGCGTCACCGCTGTCTCGGTGGAGTTTAATAAACTCAGCCGTCAGGACACTGGCGTAAACTCTCGACCGTCTCACACTTCCGTTTAATCAGTTTTCTGTTTGACTTTTATTCAGCTGTGTGAAAACCGAGGAGGAGGGGGATTAATAAAGTTTTATTTTATCTAATCTAATAACTTTAATCTCAGTCAAACCGATTTACTCACAAACAAACAAAACATTGAAAAAAGCCCAACAATAACATTTGTAGGTTGTCTAAGTGACTTATATATTACGTTTAACCCGAGCAGCGAAAGTCCGCGGTGATCTGAAAATGATGTGCCGTTCTCGGCCGCATCAGTAACCTCGAGCTCCCGGCTAGCTGTCGAGCTGGTGGGTAGCAGACGTCTCCAAAAACGTCGAAGCACTTTTGCAAATTTGGGATATCTTGATAAACCGAGCAGATATTTGAAGTTTACACAGCTACTTTCTCGCCTGAAAATATGCTAAAAGTTTATTTTGTGACTCAGAAAGATTAGTATGAGTCATTTTAAAACTTAGTAGCGGCCGCCATTATTGGAAACTGGAGTTTGGCTGGGCCGCGCTATGAATTCTGGGATATGGTGGGCCACGAAGGACACACCCGTCGGCTGCATTCGGAGGAGTCTACGAATTTGAACAGCCTTCGGCGCGTCGCTGTGACGTAATCGGTCTACAAATGCGGCCTCAGGAGGATGCAGCCCATGAATTTGGACACGACCAAGGACACCGTGAAGCTCCTTCTATCCTTCTCTAAACAGTAAACGTTCCGGTCTCCATTCCACCTCCACTGGCTCCCCCCAGGGCTGTGTGCGCTCCCCCCTGCTCTTCATCATCTACACCGATGACTGCAGATCCACACAGCTCTGTCACCTGGTGAAATATGCTGACGACACAGTTCTCCTGTCAGGCCCCTCACAGCACCACGGGCCCACTCTGCAGGAGTTTGTAGAGTGGTGTGACAGATCCAAACTTGAACTGAACGTGAGCAAAACCAAAGAGATGGTGGTGACCTTCTCCAGTAGGCAGCCACCACCACCATCCACGGGAAGCCAGTGGAAGTAGTTGAGGAGTACAAATACCTGGGAACCATCTTTGACAACAACCTGAAATTCTCTGCCAAGACAGAGGAGATTCTCAGGAAGTGCCACCGATGGCTATACCTCCTTAGGAAACTCAACTCCTTTGGAGTCAGCACACCCATCATGATGACTTTACTACGCCTTCCTGGAAAGCATCATGACCTTCTCCATTACCTGCTGGTTCCACTCCCTCAGCCTTCAGAACAAGAACAGACTGCAGCACACTGCATCAGTGTGCTCTAAAATCATTGGCCTGCCTGCCAGAACTCTGGCGCAGGTTTTCAACCAACAGGCACTTATAATGATAATGGTTGTAGCCGCTGCGATGCTTTCGACCACAACAGGCACAGCTAGATGACATCATCAACATGCGCTATCGCGATATAGTCAAAATCTTTATTGTTGGCCAAATTCATATCGTTCCTATCGTATATCGTTTATATCGCCCACCCCTACTTGAGACTCCAAACACGGTAAACCTCACAAATTTCTCACGTATCAAAACTGTCTCTCTCTTTCGCTCACTCCTAAAACTTCCCCCTCTTCCCAAACAACCAGATGCCACATGTTGCCATATCATTTTTTTGATTGGTCAACATGGTACATTTTTCCACCAATAGAGAAAGAGTTGTTGTTTTCTTTTTTCACCAATAACTGTTGTTTTTCACTCACAAGCAAAGCGTGTTTGCTAGCGCTTAGAAAACGCCGTTTTCTACACTGCAGACTTCTCCCACAATTCCACCCAGTGCTTCCTGCAGAAGTTCTCTGATGACTCTGCAATAGTCTGCCTCATCACTGATGGGGACGACAAGGAGTACAGAGGTCTGACCCAAGACTTTGTGGACTGGTGCCAGCAGAACTACCTCCAGATCAACGCCAGTAAAACCAAGGAGCTGGTGGTAGACTTCCGCAGGCACAAGCATTCTCCACTGCAACCACTGAACATCCAAGGTATGGACATTGAGGCTGTGGACAGCTACAGGTACCTTGGTGTTCATCTGAACAACAGACTGGACTGGACTCATAACTCAGACGCCCTCTACAGGAAAGGGCAGAGCAGGCTGTACCTGCTGCGGAGACTCAGGTCGTTTGGAGTGGAGGGCCCACTCCTGAAGACCTTCTATGACTCTGTGGTGGCTTCTGCTATCTTTTATGGCGTGGTCTGCTGGGGCGGCAGCATCTCTGCTGGGGACAGGAAGAGACTGAACAGGGTGATCCGAAGGGCCAGCTCTGTTCTAGGATGCCCTCTGGACCCAGTGGAGGTGGTGAGTGACAGGAGAACGGCGGCTAAGCTGTCATCCCTGTTGGACAACATCTCCCACCCCATGCAGCAGACTGTGACAGCACTGAGCAGCTCCTTCAGTGGGAGACTGCGGCACCCACGGTGTGGGACGGAGAGATTTCGCAGGTCTTTCCTCCCCACTGCTGTCAGACTCCATAATAAAGACTTTAACTGATCAAGCACACACATCCACACATATGCAATAATACTAAGTGCAATAATCCTTTCTGTCATCGTATTTTTACTCAGTTGTATATAGTATTTGTATTCTATTTTTATCTTATTGTATATTTATTCTATTTTATTCTACTGTATATAGTATTTTATTTTATTCTATTCTGTACAGTTGTGTACTGTATTTATTCTTATTGTATTCTAATTTTTGCCTCATAACTTTTGCACTGTCCACTTCCTGCTGTGACAAAACAAATTTCCCACGTGTGGGACTAATAAAGGTTATCTTATCTTATCTTTTACAGTTTCTTCCCGGAGTAAACGCCACTGTTTTATTGAAAACAAAAAACATCGGTTTTACGTGGCCTATCACACAATTTAAACACTGGTATACAGTTTGAAGTCCGCACGTTCGACCCAAGTTGAAATGGAGACTCTGGGCCCGTCGACCCCAGAGGGTTAACCAGAAAGCCTTAAGTTGGCTAGTTATGTATCAGGCTAATGTTTAAAGCTTTCACTTGAGTAAATTAACTCATATTACTGCTAAATAATGTTAGCTAAGTTCACAGCATATTCCATAACAGCGCTGCCATACTGCATCACACTCAGTGCATTTCAATCATTTCTCCAGCGAGTCTGATAGCAAAATAATAATCATAATTTTAAAAAAATAGCGTGTGTAACATACACGTACTGGAAAATTATTTACTAGGACTCAACTATCATGCGACTGGAGAGTGCAAACTCCGCCATTGTTGTTTTCCATCAAACACTCATTAAAACAGCGACCTACAGGAATGTTAGCGCAGCGGTCTCCAACATTTTTTGCGCCACGGACCGGTTTATGCCCGACAATATTTTCACCGACCGGCCTTTAAGGTGTCGCGGATAAATACAACAAAATAAAACCAGTACCGGTACCGAAAAAAAGGAGATTTATTCATAACACACGTGAAAAGACCCAGGAAAACCGAGTAAACGATAAAAACCCTGAAAACCACACATTTCACACCTGAGCCTCAACCCGGGGACCGCTGTGTTAGCGCACTCATCCTCGACTGTCCGAGGGAGGGGTGGGGTCACATATTGAAACAGACACAAGGCAGCCAGGCGGGGAAAATTTGCCTCTACATTTTGCGACTCATTTTATTTCTCTATCTGATAAGAAAACTATTCAATCAGATAGTTATTTGTGGTGAATGAAATACAGCTACACTTTCAAGCACCACATCTGATATTCAAGCACTTTTCAAACCTTGAAAAGACAACATTAAAATCCAAGTATTTTCAATGATTTCAAGCACCCGTACGAACCCTGTAATTTCAATGCTCCCCTCTGGGCGGCGCCTCCGCTGCATTTCCTGCAGGACTGAGAGGAGGAGCGCCACCTTTGTCCCCAAAGCCCCTCTGCTTTTTAGCTCCAGCCGATAAGAACATTTCCAACACCAGAAACATAAACTACTCTACGCTCTTTATACTGCCGACACTTTACTCCATTTTAGTCACTTACAGTTATTTATTCACCTTTCAGTCACTTTAATTTTGAAATTGTGTACTTTTAAAACTGTGTATATACTGTATATCCTGTGTATTTATTATCTCACTCTTTTTGCCTGTTTAGGCACTGTCCTTATCTTCAATGTCATGCTGCTCTGTTGTATCTTAATTGCCCCTTGGGGATAAATAAAGTCTCTCTGATTCTGAAGTCTGTGTGTGGGAAGCCATGTTTTAGCAGTATCAGTTATGTTAAATGTGTTAAATATGAGGATTATCAGTTAGATTTAACCTGAAACCTTATATTTTATTCTGAAGCACTTAAATCTAACCAGCTTTAAAGGCGCTGCAAAGTCTAACTGAAGGCCCAACAGGTTTAAGATTACAGGCTGAAAATGTTCTTGCATGAAGCCTAAAGATATATTGTGTCCACTATTCTGACCCGACTGTTGTGTGTGTGATATGAGGTGGAAGCAGTTTTTCCCAAGCTGCTCTGGTCTTACTGCTCTGAGGGGACGACGACTTTCTCTCCGTGGTCGACCAGAAAGCAACAAGCTTGACAGGAAACCGAGTCCACGAAGATCGACTCCACCACGGCCCGAAACCACGACTTCTTTACCGCCCAGTACACCACATACACCTGACAGGAAAGCACACACAAATCTCCTTACTCTATCACCTCGCCCAACGCAGGAGCGACAATGTTTCTGACGTCTTGATACCCGTCCTTCCTCCAACGACGCAGGCTTTAGCGTGCACACGTCCTGCGTGGTGTCGCGGTAGAAGAGGTTCATCTGAAAATGTAGCTTTTTGTAATGTTCTGAAGTCTCCACATCGCCGCTGAGACCCAAAATGGCACCCCAGAGACACGATGGGTTCTCCACCTGCAGAGTTCAGTTTGAAGTACACATCATCATCACTGTGCTGCATAGAAAGGTATGTTTTGCACCTCTTGATGCTCAGCTTGAACTTCACTTAAATAACTAACTTACATTTTGACAAATTAAAGAAAATAAAGTCTTCAATCTTTGCATTTCATTATTACACTTATTTTGTTTCACCCTCTCCCAGTGACATGTGACAAATTTCCCACGTGGGGAACTAATAAAGGCTATCTTCTGTTATGGAGGTGACAAGTAATCACACCTGAAACACCTTTGTGATAAGTGATATTTTAAAGGTTTAACCCTTTAGCACATGAATCATGACAACCACAATCAGGATTTTTTTATTCATCTTTAGGCATGAAAAGACGGTTTTTGAATTTCATTTTTTTTAAACATACTTTTCTAAGATTTGGTTGGTTTTTTTTACATGTCCACTTAGGTGGCTACCACTCCACGGGCTGACCAGTGGGTGGCAGAGTATGAAGGGACACATGTGTCCAATGTAGTGTTTTATGTGCAAATACACCATCAACACTGACACAAATACAAGAAAACAGCCTTTGAATAGCTGTCCACTGTAGTGACCACTGTGCGTGAAAGGGTTAAATACACCAACTACATCTGCTGGGCATCAAAACTGAACCCGTGAGCCACGTTTAGCTAATTAAAGCAGTAACACAGCCATTAAAGGATCACGTACCTTCAGAACAGATATTTTCACCATTTCTTTATTTCGTCAGTCCGAAAGCAGCGACACTGGAAGAAAACAGTCGGATTTAACAGATTTACCGTTTCTCGAACGCCAACTGTTTAAACTTGAGCCCCGTTAGCTAACGTTAGCTCGCCAGCTACGCTCCGTTTTACTGAAATTTCAAATGATAAAAAGAAGAAGAAACATTTTTCAGTCTTCGGTTAAAACAACTTTTTCCCTGTAACTTGTTTCTGTTTAACGTCGAATTCGCAGGTCGAACGTACCTGTTTGTGGGCGAAAGCAGCAGCGAGTGTAAGGCGCGAAGAAAGGCAGACGGAGGGGTCAGTGCCGAGTCTGACCGGTAGAGGGCGCTACGGTGCCAGCCTTTTCCTTATTGTAAACATTTTATTTATTTTGTATTAATTTTATCCATTAAAATATGTTCGTGTATAAAACATGATTGAAGAAAAGGCTGGGAAATTTACCAAATAAATTCCAAGAAAGAAAGCTAAATAATTTACAAGAAAAAATAAAAATAATAAATGAGAAAATAAGATTAAGAAATTCCTATAAAAAAGATATTAAAATATAATAATAATATATAATATAATAAAATAATTTTAATTTAAAAGAAAAAAACGCCATAAAACCCGATTCCCTAAGAGGAAAAACCCACAAAAAAACGTTAGAAAAAAATCTTTAAAAAAGGGGGGGGAGGCGGAGGGGGATCTAGGAGAGAAAAAAAACACAAATATTTTTAGCACGCATTTTGTCATTTTTACACTGTCCGATGACAAAAGAACTTCCCTCGGGATAAATAAAGTTCTTATATTATCTAGGCCGTGCAGGTGCGCTCTTCCTCCTGTCCTCCAGGGGGCGACGTGGAGGTGTATGTCCGTCATCTGAACACAGGCAGGAAAGGAGGAAAAGAAATGGGGGATTGTGACATTACAAACTGGCATTGAATTACTGGGCAAGTTTACAAGGACATGGTCAAGATCATCCGACAAAAACTGTTTTCCAACCGTGCTGGGATAAAGAGAAAGGTGAACTGAAGAGCTTTGGGTGGACAGTGGGACAGAAAGCAGCTGAACTTAATCTGGACAAGATCAACATAAGTCAAACAGCACCGTTGCCTACAATACCACCATGGATGCTCCCTGATGCAGTAGCATATTTCACATTGTTAAACAAAAAGAACAAGGAGAGGGGGTTTATCTTCACATACAGCGCAGGAATATATTAATCAGTATTGTAGTTATGTCAAAATCTACATAGATGCATCAAAGAATACAGCCAACCAAAGCGGGATAGCATTTATTGTTCCTGAATTTAATATCAAAGTAGGGAAAAGGATCAGTGACGATTTATCAGTGTGCACAGGAGAAATGGTTTCATTATTGTTAGCAGCCCAGTGGACTGAAGAAACAAAACCACTAAGTTCTGTGATATGTTCAGACTCGAGCTCATCACCGGCCGGTCTGCAAGACAGTCACTCAGAATGCAGACTGACATTCTGATAGAGATCCAGCAAACATTACTCAGAATAATTATGATGGGGCTTGTGGTCACATTCTTATGGTTACCAGCACATCATGAAGTTAAAGGAAATGAAACGGCAAATAGGACAGCAAAAGAAGCAACAAGGAGACCGATGGTAGGTATGGATATTAGTGTTAGTGGGACGGAGCTCAAGAGTAGAATGGGATACAAAATGAAGGAAAGGTGGCAAAAGCAAGCGGAGGAAGAGAGGAAAGGGCGATGGTTTTACAAAGTCCAATTTTTTGTCATTTCGGTCCACACTCCACACCAGCTGGTGGCGGTAGTGCACCATTTTGCTGTTTGCCAACTGCCAATAAAGCCTATAAAGAAGAAGAAGGAGGAAGCGAGTTAACTTATGGAGGCAAAAGCGAACCCTGGTAGCTAACGTCCTACAGTCACCCAAGGCAACTTTAACCCGCTGTGGCGCTCAGCTGCATGGAGAACAAAGCGCCTGAGCTGCTCAACGCGGTTCCTCCTTACGGACACATGATCTGCAGCGACAAATGGAGAAATTCGTCCTTCATTCAGGGTTTGAAAGGTAAATAAGCACCACGAACCCGGAGTAATAAATATTCACCAAAAATCAGACGAGAACCCGCCTTTAACGTTTTATTATAAAAGTACTGACTTTTAATACTTTTAAGGTTGTGTTTATGGGGGGAGTTCTGCATGAAACGCAAAACGCGTGTAGATGTGAAGCCTTATTTTATAGTTCCTGAATTATTTATACTGTGTTAAGTATAGTTTATTTTCAATAGAACATATTTTTTGGTGCCAGAGTTTAATGTTAATGTTCAAATATGATGATAATAATATTTTCAAACAAATTCATGCTCTCAGAATTTATTATTAAACTTCAGCTACACTTTTTAAATGATATATTCATAAAACTCATAGTATCAGATATTTGGCCTAAAATTGAATGACATAGCTTACGTAGCTCTGTAAATATAGCTATTTGATTTCATCACAAAAATCTGTATTTTATGAGCAATAACAGCAGAGGGCTGCAACTTGGCAGTTTTTCCCTTATTAAGATGTGAATCAGTGAGGTGGTCAGACTGGAAGCATTTGGTGAGTTGACATAAAGTACAGTGCTTTAAAAGCGTCGTGTCGATGTGCAGAACCCAGCAGCATGAACAGCTCGATTTCCCTGTTTAAACTGTCCAACAACACTCCTGAGGTTCAGTACGGTGAAATACCTCAGTCACTTTATTACTGATCAAATGAATGATGACGACACATACAGACAGCGGTGTGAGTTCTATGTGCAGGCAGCTTCTCTTCAGTTTCAGTTAAAGCGGCTTTAATTGCACACCGTTATATACTGCCCCCTTGTGGTCGTCTGACGCGCAACGTAGAATGCAGAAGCCGCTTGTTGCATGTAATGATGCAGTGAGGGGGCAGTGTCAGTCAGATGTTTGTAGCTGTGGGTGTTTGGACTTTTAAAGCACTTTTAAGAAATGTAATGTTTGCTTTTAGAGAAGGACTGGATGGCTCTAGTAACAGTATGCTTTTAGCACCCACAGATCCACACACAGTGAGTGCTTCCCGCTCTGGCTAAAGTGTTTGTGTATTTAGTGCAATGAATTTGCATCTGCTGCAGGTGGAGGTGTGAAAATCATCTTTGAGACAGAGCTCGGAGTGGCAGATTTCCTCCTGCCCAACAAAAGCAGTGTCCTCTACGTCTCTGAGTGTGACATCATCGCAGGAAGCAGCTACAAGAGGAAGGTGGTTCGCTACAGGAACGTAAGTTTGATGTGGAACCTGGAAGCTTCTCGATGATGTTCAGGTTGATATTGGAGGCGCTCCTCGTGTTTGTTTTCAGGCTGGGAGCAGCTTCCAGGAGCTGGTGTTGGTGGAGAAGACCAGACTCAGCGAGCAGTACTTCCCCGCTGTGCAGAAGTTTGTGGTGTTTGACCTCGGCCTGTCTCTGCTGCCCATCAGCGGGCAGGCCGACGCCTCACAGCTCATCGCTCAGATGGTAAGATTTCCAGAATGTGTTGATTTTTAGTCCTTAACTCTGGGTTACGGTACATAAAATCATTTTGCGTTGTTTTTCTCTATGATGTCACATTTTGTAAGTGTGTCATAAAAATATTAAACCCTGCGTAACAAAAAGGATTCAAACCAATCAGAACAAAAGACCAATCAAAGCTGGCCTTCTTGTTGAATTTGAGGCTTGTTCTTGTTGTCTCCAGGTTCACGGGGAGGGTCGGGAGAACCCCTTCAGGAGGAAGAGCTCGTCCCGCCTGCTGGACCCTCTGGTCCTGGCTCTGGTCCAGCAGATCCCCGGGGTGGGCAAGGTCAAAGCTCTGGTGCTGTTGCGGCACTTCTCCAGCATCCAGCAGCTCTGCAACGCCTCCCCCGGCGAGCTGGAGCCCATCGTGGGCCAGGCTGGCGCTCAGCAGATCCATAGCTTCTTCCACAAACACACTGCCGGGACCTGAACAGCTCAGTTCAGATTACAGTGGCCAAAATCCAGCCTTGAGACTGAAGTTCCTGCAGCATCGATTCACACTGAGAGACAACAGTCCTGGTTCCCAGAGCTGAGATGTCTGCACGAGGAGGCTGAAGAAAATGTTTTTACTCTGGCTTGCAGTTGCTGGTTAGGTTGAAGCAATAAAACCTGCACGGTTAAAATGAGGTAAAGGTTGGCGTTTGGGGGAGAATAACCCCGTCGCAGCAGGAATCCTGATCCATCTCACTAATAGAAAAAAACCGTAGTTTAAATTGACGAGTAAATCAGGATTATTTGACACCCCAGGAATGAGAACAGTCACTGGACGATCAGGGCCATCACTCCTGATCAGAGCCGGGTGACCATGACCTGCACAGCAAACGGCACTTTTCACAGTGGTGCCTCAGGTCAGGCACGCTCCTCATCTTCATCGACATTCACGGTGTTTGCATCCTGAGATGTGTGAGAGCGAAGGCTTCCTGCAAACTGCCTGACGTGTGTCGCTCTAAACCAGGCGCCAGGCTGATGCAAGAATTACTCGCACATTTGTGTCTCTGAGACGACGGTTTGCAGCGCAGCCTTCAGCGTGAGCAGGAAGCGTTGGAGGCAGCGTTAACCTAACATGTTGCCCAGTGTGTTCCCAACTGTCACTGGCCACAGAGCTGAGCCTGAGCTAATTCCACGACTCGGTTCATGTGCCGATTTTTACTCTGCATTATTTATTTTGACCTGAATGATGGTTCAGTTTTAAAGGACGGACTCGGACATCAGTTTGCCTCCTGAGCAGAGAAAAGTTTCCAGATTTTGAATGCATGCAAAACTGTTTTCTACGACTGTGAAATAAAAATAAAAACAAAGTTTCGCATTTTTTCTTTTTATTGCTTTAAAAATACCTGAAAGTATTATTCTGATGAAATGAGCTGCAGGTTATTCCTGTGTGACCGACTCATTTCAGTCGGAGGATACTAACACATGCACCGACTGCATATGTTGGGGTGTGTGTTACACTTTGAAATTTGGCACACTCGACTACATTAATATCTGTAACTTTATATTACCTCATCTTTCTTCTATATATTTTCAAATGAGCTAATGACAATACTTTTGAAAATATGAAATGTCTTTAAATCCTTACAGGGGAGTTTCTTTCCGTCACTTAGACTAAAAGAAGACTCTGGTCCTTAAACGTCTTGCACTAATCCCTTTCGGCAGGACCGGGAGAAGGTGAGAGTGCTCGGGCCGTTTTCCTCTCGGTGTCCTTGAACGCCTCTTGGTGAGTCCTGGGTATTTAACATTCTACCCTGGACAGCGGCAGGTTGTTGCGCAAGCGCAGCCCATTCAGTCTGCATGAATGCGGAGTGAGGAGAGGAC